AATGATCCTGCCTATTGTTCTTAAAATTAGTCTTGGCTATTTTGAACCTCTATCTTTTCCAAATTAATTTTAGAATGAGTCCATCATGTTTTACCTTCACCCTCCTCCTTGCAAAAGACCAAAGATTTTGCCCAAAATTTTACTAATTTGGGGAAGACCAAAATATTTACAGTATTTCATCTAAAAAGTCTCTCTCCATCTTTTATGTCCTTCAAGACAGTTTTTACCATTTTCCTCATAAAGGATTTAGTTGCATTATGTTAGATTTATTTCCAAATATCCTATATTTTATTTGCTATTTATCTCGTATCCAGTACTTTTAAAGAATTCATATTAACCCTAATAGCTTATTTGTGGATAGTCTTGACAATTTTGCTTCTTCCTTTATATCTTTTTTGGTTTTAATCTTATTAAAGTGTCTAAGATTGCAAAATGATATTGAATCGAAGTGGTGATAGCAGAGACCATTGTTTTCCTCCTGAATTTAAGAGGAAGTGCCTCAGGTATCTCACGTGGAAGTATAATGTTTACTGTAGGCTTCTGTTGGCCTTCATTTTCAAAATGCACACAGTTGTTACTGCTATTAACTATGTATGAGTTCATCTGAAAATTTTACAGTAACCAGACTCTTTTACACTTTACAAAGTCATTGCTTCCTTTAATCTGTGGCTGGATTTACAGTCATCTTCTATTTATAGCTGTACCCCTTATTCATTACTCTTACACAGCATGAATTACTGCCTCGCCAATTCTGATTCTACCTTTTAAGATCGTTTATGTCATCACAGTCATAAATTTCATTTAAACTTTTTCTACAATCTCATGTTGCAATGTTTCTTTTGCTTTGCCTGCGTATAGCTGCCAGGATTGGATTATACTTCAAAGGAGGCCAACTTCCATGCCAGGCCACCATGGAGACACTAAAGAAGTAGTAATGAGAAGACTGCTGCTCCCATGGAAACAAAACAAGGGCAGGTGACCTCACACACTACTAGACCGATAATTAAAACAGTTTACTTAAGCTCCCCATCCACCTCTTAGCTCCTCGGGACTGTTACATGGCATCGTTTTTGCTACTGTATATCCTCAGTCGTGTCCGACTCTTTGTGACCCCACGGACTGTAGACTGCCAGGCTCCCCTGTCCATGCAATTTTCCAGGCAAGAATACTGGAGTGGGTTGCCATTTCACACCCCAGGGCATCGTCCCAACCCAGTTATATGGTATAGCCTTACTGAAAACTAACATCCCATCTTATTCCCTCAGACCATGTGAATCCTAAGGCTGGACACAATGTTTTTGACGTCCAGTTGGAAATATGCCCTGATATTTATTCTGTTGAACTGGAGGCTGTTGAAGATTTAAAAAATACCTGTTCTAACAGTTTCTTTACAGGTGAGTTAACTGAGGTCAAAATAAGTAATTTGTACAAGGTCACACTCGTGAAAAGCAAAACTCTATGCTTGAAGATTCTTTCACTGTAAAATGACTGAAAATTATGCATTCATGGGCCTCTAGAAGGTAACATATGTCTGCACAGATAGAATTCAGCCTGGAGCAAACTGTCATTTGGAAGACATACTGATCTTATATGAAGTATTAGGATTCTTCAATATCATACTATTATGACACTTGAGCACAAAGTCACAGCATGTTGGGAATGCCAACTACAAGCAACACCCTCATAAAACTCTGCAGTTTTAAAACTAATAAAAGCAAAATCAAAACATGAGCTCATCTATATGTATTGGACTGCAAGGAGATCAAATCAGTCAATCCGAAAGTCAGCTCAACTGGATGTAACATTTCCCCAAATGAATCCAGAATCACACTGATTGTGGCATAGGCAGCAATATTAACCAATGTATATGAAAAGGCATATCAATACCTAAGCAGGAACACAGCAGGGGGAGAGGGGCTGTGAAAGGAATCAGAAAAGCAGGATAGATAAAGTGCATCTAAAATTTTCCAAGGGAAGGATACGCAGAGTCTGGAGAATGCAAACAACCAGGAGAGGAGTCTCTTCTGTGGGTCATGTTAGCTAGCTCAGGTAAACCACTCTCAAAGGCCTTTACCTCATTTTACCCAAATCTTAAATCTTCTGATGACTAATTCCATTTCCTGGGTTCTTCCAAAAAAGCAGAAATATGCTCAGGACAGAATTCCCAAGTATTTCAGTCATTAGGAATCTACCTAAAGCTATGACCAACCTAGACAGCATATTAAAAAGCAGAGACATTGCTTTGCTGACAAAGGTCCATCGAGTCAAAGCTATGGGTTTTCCAGTAGTCTGTGGATGTGAGAGTTGGACTGTAGAGAAAGCTGAGTGCCAAAGAATTGATGGTTTTGAACTGTGGTGCTGGAGAAGATTCTTGGGAGTCCCTTCAACAGCAAGGAGATCAAATCAGTCAATCCTAAAGGAAATCAGTCCTGAATATTCACTGGAAGGACTGATGCTGAAGCTGAAGCTCTAGTACTTTAGCCACTTGATGCAAAGAGTCAACTCGTTAGAAAAGACCCTAATGCTAGGAAAGACTGAAGGCAGGAGGAGAAGGGGATGACAGAGGATGAGATGATTAGACTGCATCACTGATTCAATGGACATGAGTTTGAGCAAGCTCTGGGGGATGGTGAAAGACAGGGAAGACTGACGTGCTGCAGTCCATGGGGTCGCAAAGAGTTGGACACAACTGAGTGACTGAACAACAACTACAAATCACCAGGCTGGCCTTCTGGTTTACCTGTCAGTCTCCTAGGTCTGATCAACTTAGGATTTCAGGGCTACCAGGGTGAAGCATGGTTGACATCACCAAGGAAATGTTACCTGTTCAGGCTGACTCCTGGTCAATTTGCAGGTCTTTGCTGGAATGCCCAACCTCACTTCATACTCCTTCTATTTCGCCACTAAACCTACTGCCTAAATATGTCTCGAACAAAGCCCTTTCAGGACTTCCCTGGTAGTCCAGTGGTTAGAAACATGCCCGCCAATGCAGGGGTCAAGGGTTTGATCCCTGTCTGGGAAGATTCCATAGGTCGAGGGGCAGCTAAGCTCATCGACCACAACTATTGAGCCAGTGCTCTAGAGCCCACACGAGCCACAACCACAGAAACCTGCGTGCCCTAGAACCTGTGCTCCACACAAGACAAGCTGCTGCAATGAGAAGCCTGAGCACCGCAACTAGAGACTAGGCCCTGCTTATTGCAACTAGAGAAAGCTGCACAGCAATGAAGACCCCAAACGCCAAAAATTAATTGAAAAATACAGTACACACAATGATTCAAAAATGCAGGCCAAAAAAAAAAAAAAGACTTTTCAAAGATTCAAAACATATCTGGTAAAGGCATTAAGAAAGCTTAATGCTCTCTTTACATGAACTGAATATACTCTTTAATCAGTTCTTGGAGTGAAACGGCTATCGCTCACAAGTCCTCTCCAAGGGCCACCTTCAGCACCACTGCCTGTATCCCACAGGACCAAACCAGGGACATGCAAGGGCACAGTTCCCTTTACACAGAGACATTCTCTATGTTTTCGCTCCTAATTTTTTCGTTTTTGACTTTATGAATGTGGAAATGAGAAATAAGAAATGTAAGCCTCAAAGAAAACTAGTAATTCCATTCATTTGTAATTCCATTCTAAGCATCTGTCTGCTAGTTTGATGACTAAAACATGCTAATAAAGTTCCTTTCCCAGTAAATGCAGACTACTTTCCAAAGCTTTTTTCAGCCTTATCAATACTTAGACTCATCAAAACACATTCTTTAAACAAACAAACAAACAGTTGTCCTGCAATAAACAAGAAGCATCAGTAGCCACTTAGTCTTTCTGAGTTGGTGTCTAAGGGCCACTGAGAGAGATCAGGACTCTATTTTTATTCCTATACCTCTGCCAAGACTCTATTCTTAGCCTGATACCACAAATCTTCTCTCCAGGAATGCCCTGTGAAAGAAGATGATGCTGTTGAGGCTGGGATCAGGATCCTGAGCAGGATCATCATTCCTGGAGTTAGCTCTGATCACAGGTCTGAGTCACCGCCATCACCAGGCAGGGCTTCTGGTCGTCACTGCACGCGTCTCAGCTTTGACCAAATGCTCTCAGGGACTCATCCTGGCTGGACACCTTGGAAATGTTCCAGACCTTTACCACTTCCTCTGCAAGGACACCACTAACCAGGGACACAGAAAGAATGTCCCAGAGTAGTCATCCTGCTTTTCTCACACTTAAAATCTGAGCAAATATGACAGAAAGGAAAAACCACTTACTCTATAAATGTAGCCCTCCACGGTGGCCCAGGTAATCCTGCACACACAAGGCAGGAAAGCCCTAGTTCCCCAAAACAAGGTTTGAAATCAATACCAGTGGAGGTCCACGCCTTAAAAGTAACACTGTAAACCGAAGTGGCCGACAAGCTGTCATGTGACTTATCTAACAGAATGATGAAATGATCAGGTTATTAGCTTTAAAAGTTATAACCATGATACTAATAGCTAACACCTATTGAGTGCTTACCAAGTGGTAGGCATTTTACAAGCACCATCACATTTAATATCCCAGTGGCCGTATAAAGTATTGGGTTGGCCAAAAAGTTACTTAGGGTTTTTCCCATCACATCTTTCAGAAAAACTCAAACAAATATTTTGGCCAACTTCATACTATTATCTTTTATAGACAGGAAACGAAGTAACTTTATCAATGTCACCTAAACTGGTTAAAGTATTCATTTAAGGTCAAGGCCATATTACTCAGCTTTCTAAGTTTTGCATTCTACTCAAAAAAAAAAAAAAACACAAAAAACACAAACAACAGGAAAAGGAAGAAAAGTATCAAACTTACATTAGCTGGATTTCATGAGTAAATCTCAATCTTATAATCTCTACAAGCAAGTTACTTAAATTTTTATATTTCCTTTGTAGCATGTCTTCCAACGTCACATTCTCATTCATGGTAATTAAACAGGACAAGAAAACATCTTATAAATAGCATTTCAGCCAAGTACTTACGTAGTCAATGGGCTTCAGGGATTTGACTCTAGATGTTGGGCAGCCGCAGGAAGTAAGGTCGGCATAGAGGCCTTCTTCTAACACACACTGGTTAGTGGAGACACCCTCTTGGTAATACAGGAGCCAGCTGAAAAAACAAGCAGGGAAACTTTGAAACAGCATTCGTTGGCAGTTGGACTCACTATCATGCAGGGGGAAACAGGCTCGGAGAACGATATAAAAGTTGATTTAAAATTAAAAAAAGCCACTGCTATCACTTATTGGCCACTTACCATGTGCTACACTGAACGCTCCACATGCATTCTCTTACTGTGCACTCATTAATCTATGAGGGAGAAACATGTCCTTACTTTTATAGACAACACAGCTAAGGATTGAAAAAGTTCGGGGACCTGCCCAAGATTCTCCTAGCTATTAAATGACAGCTGAGATCTGAAGGAAGGTATGTGCTGTAAACTAAACACATTAACTTGATTTGGTGCTTTCAAGTATAAACATCTGGGATCAAATTACAGTAGGCATTTAGTGCTTCAACAGATCGGAAGTTCTTTTTGAGAGAATAAAAATTTTTACCCTTATTTAATAATGAGGCTGATTTTAGTCTCGGCTGAGTTAGAAGCTAGACTCCTAAAATCACACACAAATATTTAAAACCTGTCATCGACACAGCTGATAGCTAGCAGAGATTCTTAAAAGGAAATGAATCCTGTAGAGTCTTCCACAACAAATTCTCTTCAGTAGGGCACTCATCAAAATTTTCATTCAAACATGCCATTTTGGCAAGAAGGAGCCCAAGGGAGAAATTACATTGGCTGTTACTACTTTACCTTCGGTGAGTTTAACTTCTAGCCCTATATTTAAAGATCACCAGAACTGTACTATAGGTACTAGACAAGGTGAACATCAGGTAACCACAGAGACGCTCTGCAACCCAATTACTGCCATGTCTCCTATGTGATAAGCATTTTATTTTTTAAGATTTTTTTTTTTTATGTGGTCCACTTTTTAAAATTATTGACTTTGGTACAATATCGCTTCTGCTTCACGTCTTGGTTTTCTGGCAGTGAGACATGTGGGATCTTAGCTTCCTGACCAGGGATCAAACCCACACCCCTGTATTAGAAGGTGAAGACTTAAGCACTGGAATGCAAGGGAGGTCTCTGTAATTAGCATTTTATAGCCAATATTTATGAAAAAATTTCAGTGTGCTGGGCATGCAGCTAAGCCCTTACATGCTTTAGTTCTTATAAGACAGAATCTTTTGAGGTCAGTACTGTTATTATCCCAGTTACAGAGGAGGATTCTATGGACAGAGGAGCTTGGTGGGCTACAATCCATGTGGTCACAAAGAGTTGGACACCACTGACTGACTAACACACAGAGGAGGAAGCTGAGGTTCCGAGAAATGATCCCATTTGTTAAGATTACATAGCTAGGAAGTGGTGAACTGGGCTCAAATCCAGATCTCTAAAGCATTTGCAATCATAAGCAATCACCATGGTTCCTGTATCCTCTTATTAAAACTACTGTTTAATAAATCACACATAAATATAAATAAAATATATAAGTAAAATGTACATTTTGTATGTAGATAGTCCTCTGTATCTACTGGTTTCCTACCTACAGATACAAAGGCCCAACTATACTAAGCTACTTTACATAAGACACTTGAGTATCCATGGATTTTAGTATTTGTGGGGGTTTCTGAAACAAATTCCTCACAGATACCAAGGGACAACTGTATACATAAATTATATAGAGACACACACACTATATATTTGTTTGTAAGTAAATAACATATTTCCAACATGAAGCAATACACATGACCAATCTGTCCTAGACTTCAGTGTCAGGAAAATATATTTGTCTCAAAGGGGGAAAAAAAATTCAAAACTTCAGTGCTTGATCACAAAATTAAAACTTTCCTTGCAAAATACTTTCATTTATCTTAGAAACTCAGGATCAAATACTAGGAACAAAATTATTTCAGAGTATCAATTTCTCACTAAAGAGCTGCAGCTAATCTATTCAACTGTGTCCTACTTCATGTGTTTTCATATTGTAAAAACTTTCAGATCCTTCTTGGAAGTAAACACGGTAACATCCAAAGAGTTTCAAAGTAGTGAGAATCACTGGAAATCAGAATGGGAAAAGACAGCCTAACTTAGGGTTAGTCGAGATGGTTAACAGAGGGAATGAAGATGGACTGAACCTCAAAAACATATATGCAGATCAGTACTAAGCAAGGTTCACGAACTTACACACCTGCAGGGGGCCAAGTAGGTAAATATAAATGAGCAGTGTACCAGGTGAAAAAAAACTGGCAATATATCCTATGGTAGACTGGGGAGCACACACGCCTCTACTCGATGCCAGCTATTAATAATTATCAACAAAGGTGAATGTTCCCTCATTTTCCAAATCTTCTGATTTTTTAACAGAAGGTGAAAAACGGTTTCTACTGGAAAATATCCTAAATCTTAGTAATGATTCGAAAAAACTTTTTAAACATAGCATGTAGGTCAACCAAGTAACATCCACTGACAAGATCCACTTGAAACCTATACACTTTTGTTAGGTAGGAAGTTAGGTATGAGCAAAGAGGTGTGGGCCTAGCCAAACTGATCTCTAAACAGCATCCCAGACACATTCAGGAGAGTTCACAGATAGATATGCTACAAAATAACCAGAGGGATTTTTACAACTCTTGCACATGTGTCCAGGGTACACAGTGGATACAAACTAACCATAGGGGTTTCCCCAAGTACCCTCAGTGGAGCAGGAGCCCATTAAGGGTTCATAAAAATTCTACACATACATACAACGGACTATAATGGACTGAATTATGGGAAGACATACACAACAGAACCTGCTGTTACATAAGTTGCAACTGTCAACTGGCCTTGAGTGTTTGCTCACTTGCATTCCCTTTTGTTGACTGGTGGTGGGCACAAGCCCTCTTTTGCACAGGGCACAACCAGGAGGAGAAGACGGAAGTGTACAAAGGGGGAAGCCAAGAGGAATGAGGAGGACGACTCCTTTGGGGTCGGCCTGCTTCCACGTCTTGGGAATGTCTGCCTAATAAAAGATCTGTCTGCTTGAGCTGAACTGAGTTGCAATTTGTCTGATGTTTTAAACCCTCTAGTCCCTTGTTCCGAATTTTTGTTGCAGCCAGACAAGAACCAAGGGAGAGAGAGAAACTGACTTGACACTTGGATGCAGAGCTGTGAACTACAGCATGTGGGCCAGATCCACTCCCACTGCCAGTTTTCCAACAGCTCACAAGCTTAGAGTGGTTTTTGCATTTTTAAGTGGTTTTTTAAAAAAAAGAATTTAAAGATCTTGTGACATGTGAATATTACATACAATTCAAAGCTCAACATCCATGAACAGAGTTTCACTGGAACACAGCCTATTCATGTACTGCAGGTGCCTGCTTCTGTGCCACAGCGCTGGGGAGCTGGGACAGAGCCTCTATGGCCCATAAGGCTGAAAATATCTACTGCCTAGTCCTTTTCAGAAAAAGCTTGCTGACCCCTGGTACAGAGGCATAAGGAGGAAATCACATAGCTGAGTAAATGCCCAGAGACGCGAGGAAAGGGGGCTAGTATGTGGATAGAATGGAGCTTGGATATGGAAAGTGACACTTTTTTTTTTTGATGGTAAATCCTGGAAAGGTTCAGATCAATCCTGATCTCAATCTCAGTGGTATCAGAGAACGACTGTGGGATTTAAAGAAGAGCAGTAAAAATATTAACCTGGATTTTGGGGCAAATGATTGGGCTTTGATTGGTTTGCGGTAAACACTGGAAATAAGAGGACCCTGGAGTGTGGCTCATTAGGAGATGGAAATTCCCCAAATGGGAACCAGAACTCTTGTCTCTACTGGTTCAAGAGAAAAGGAGGAGGACTGATGAGTCCAAGATATCTTGAAGGAAGAAGAGACTTTGATGAGTTATTAGGTAGATGTCTGATAGAGATGCTACTGTAAAGATATATACACTTCAAAATGGCTAAAATGGTAAATTTCATATTATATATAGTGTACCACAATAGAAAAATGATACATAGAGAATATATGGTTAGAATATAAATTGAGAATCACATATAGTCTCATATACATGTAAGAAAGGCCCTGTATGCTACCACAGTTGGAAGGACATAGAATTAAAACAACAACAAAAACACAGCCAAAGCAATCCCTGACATGTGATGTGTGACCTTGGGAAACTAACTCTGAATCAGGGATTTTCAACTGTGAAATGGGGACAACGGATACTTTAAATACAAAGTGTTTTTTTTTTTTTTAAATTTAGGAGTAATATGTCTTATCTGGACAAAAATGCTATTTCTTTTTAATAGCTTTCTATTATACTATTCAGTAAACACACAATATAAACATGCAAAATAGTTAGGGAATAATCTAAGATAACAATGAGGAAAAAGAATTCAGCAAAATGGTCTCAGAGTTGGCTACTTAGCATTCTCTTTCACAATGGCTCATAACATAAGTTGGGCAAAGTTCGCATAGGCTAATTAGCAATTGACTTATAAAAATTCGGCAAAATACTAGACTCATGTTTTATTTATTAACAAGGAATCCATGGGAAGGAAGATTAAAATGATTAAAATTTTTTCTTTCACTGAGTCCTCAAAAGAGAAAGTCAAATTTGTATAAATTTAAAAGAAATTCACTTATTTAAACAACAGCAGAGATCAGCAGATAGGCATACTTACCAACCCCGAAGAACTTTAAAAGAACATGGCATGAATGACGAAGTCAAGTCTGAAACTTCTTTTGTGAAATCGATACATTCACCTTGGAACCCTGGTTTACTGAATGCTTTGAGCTACAAGAGCAACACAATAAACAGAGAACAGCTGTTTGATACCATCATAGAAGGAAATGAAAACATTTTAGTCTCATGTACTTATAAAAAGTCAGCAAAATACTAGACTCATGTTTTATTTATTAACAAGGAATCCATGTGAAGGAAGACATTCTCTTTAAACTCATTTTTTTTCTCCTTATGTGTTTGTCAGAAATGTCACAATTTATTTACCATTTCAAACCACCAGGTTCTGGGCACGGAGGCCTAGAAAACAATTCTACCTGTAGAAGTAAATCAGAATCCCTCCTCTGCTAAATCTGGTCCCTGTCCATTGTATCAAGTGATCATTATCCCCTGTGATGAGAAAACATGTGTAAAAAAAAAAGAAGCAATTTAGTGCTAAACACGAAGGCAGTTTGGGTTGGTATGAGGGGTGGCTACGGCTTGTCTCTCCCTAAGCCTTCTTGATTCACAGTTAGTAAAAGGGAGAAGGAGAAAGCATGAGCGCGTGCCCATAAATGAGCATGAGGATGCCTGTGAGGCCACAGGAGCAGATGGCAGAGAAGATGATAATGATGGGATTAGTGCAAGATTTATAGTGAAGAAAGAAAGATGGTTGGGCCATGTATTTCAGCTTACAGGCTTCAGTCTACTGATAGAATGAATACCTTAAATGCATAGCTTACAGCCTTATATAACGATTAACTACATTTCTGCTTTAGTTCTTTATGTCAAGGAAAATTCATGAAATCTCAACTATAATTCTCTTTAGACCAGAGATATAATAATCTGCAAAGCCAGTGGCCTTGGATCTCTAATAGGTAAGAAAAAATTAATGAGGCCTATAAATATTTTATAACACACTGGAGCCTTGAAATAACACGGCCCACAGATCCACCCGGCACTGACAGGCCTGCGTTGTAGCTGAGAATGCATCGTAATAAGCAGCTGCAGCACCACCCTCTTTGCTGCCACTGCTTCATCCAGAACAAGGCTTCATTGAGCAGCGGATGTCCGCCTCCTTCATCTTCCCAAGGGTCCTCTTAGAGACGGATGGTCTCTGAACCCTGAGGAACTGTTTTTTGGCTATCTCATTCTGCTCTGACTTGCCTGGTCTGATATCAAAGCCAAGTCCAAGCCAGAAAGCTGAGAACCCACTCCCCCTTATACAATATGATTTCCTGACGTGAAACAAGGCTGTTATTTGGAGTGTTAAAACACCAAGGGACTCCCAGCCTTCAGGAGGCATGATCTGTCAAGTTCCTACCACGGGCCTTTGGTAGGAAAAGGCAAAAGCAAGTCCACGACAATACAGATCTCTGGAACGCTTCCCTGTATATGCACAGTTCTACGTGTCCAGGCAAACTGCCCTGGATTCCTTGATAAGGATTTCAGTTGGTGGTTTTTCAGACAATGCTTTTTAACTTAAAGGTTTGTAGAACACGAAGCTAAAAAGTAAGTCACATTTAACTCCTCAAAAGTGGAGTGATTTCTCCTACAGGCAAATATTATCTTTATTCACAATAACAATCAGAAAAGGCACATGAGAACAGAGATTACAGCTGTCTGATTCACTGCATGTATTCCCAGTTGGTAGAATTAATTATATTCATATTGCTGAGTTTAAGATTTATACTTCAATATTTTACCATGAAGCCATGAAATGTCAAATCCTGGACAACTGATGCTGCACGTTAATCCTATTTCAGAGAGTATATGTTATAACTGCTTCTGCGTTTTAGTCTTCACACCCAAAAGCATTAAAAGTTTCTCTGTCTCTCTCACACACACAGTCTGTCTTAAAGTATTATTTTGATTCAAATAGTTAAAATACTCTTTATGCAAACCAAAAAAAAAAAAAGGACTTAATACTGATTGGAACTTATTTTTATCCCCTAAATGAGATATGGTTCACTTAAGATGTGTCCAACCCCAGAAAAGTATTAGCTCATTTTAACTACCTTACAAATGCCTCAGAATAGAATAATTCTCATTGTAATAATGTTCTGAGGATGGGCGCACAGCAACCAACTCAGTGCCTTCTAACGAGAATAATTAATCTGTGGTTTTTATACTGGGTTGGAGAAGGAAATGGCAACCCACTCGAGTACTCTTGCCTGGCGAATCCCAGGGACAGAGGAGCCTGGTGGGCCACTGTTCATGGGGCTGCAGAGAGTCGGACACGACTGAGTGACTGAGCACATACTGAGTGAAGTTAAGTGGCCGAGTCCTGGTGAAAAATAACTCCTGTGAAGAGCGAGCTGGGTGAGTCACTATTCTGGTTTCCTTTTCAGGTTAATGGAGAATAAATATACAAAACAACTCGGATACGTGGCACAGAACACAGATGAATGTCAGATGAACAAGAAATGAGTTGCTTCTAACTACACCCATCCTTCCGTGCCATGTAAGCATGGTTCCAAGCCCCAGATGGAAGTGTATGCGGAAAATAGCAGCAGTGCATCAGTGGTTTCCAAGGCACCTTTTCATATACACTGCCTTGTGTCTTCTTTAGAACCTCGCTTTGAAGCAGATATTATCACCCCTTTATGATGAAAATTTTGTAGAAATCCTCTTTTACTATGTATTTTTCATTTATAATACACATAAACAAATGTAATCGTTCTTCAATACAACAAACTAAAACCTCAAGAACTTAATTACTGAACAAAGGAAGGTGTGCTTTCTTAATTTATTTCATAATATCAGAGTAATTCTTGAATGTCGTTTTATTTATTCCAATGCTAAAATAATTCAACTGAGAACACTCTATCCTATCTAAATGAGATGTTCTGCAGCCCTCTGGACTTCCTGCAAGTAAACATATACGACGTTAAACAAGGGAAAAGTTTGTTTCCACTCTTCCATTACATCACATTGTCTTATATTGCAGTGCTATGTACTTCTCATATCAACTGCATATTCTATAGTGATTTTACTTCCCTGTTTACTCAGAGAAGCTTTCTTTACTGAGATAAGTACTACTTCCTGAGTATTTCTGGCCTCTGGAGTCTATAAAAAGGATCTGGTCATGTCCTTATTGTTGTTCTTCAGTCACCAGTCATGTCTGACTCTCTGCCACACCATGGACTGCAGAAAGTCTCATTTAGACAAGACAGAGTATTCTCAGAGAAATTATTTTAGCATTGGAATAAATAAAACTATCTGGTCTTCGTACCCCCGCCCCCAAATGTTTTACAGTGCTCTTGAACCTTACTAATCTTTGACTTGACTAGAATTGTTGTTTTCTTATCTTCCATACATGGTAACAGTAAGCACCACTGTTAAAGATCCTGTGATCTCTTGAGAATTCAATCTGGCTGAATTATCCAATACAAGAAAATACTCAAGTTGCTTTTTCTGAGCTAGAATCACGTATAAAATGGAACAGAGGCTCCATATTTAAAGAAATTCAAACTTATAACTCTACTGCAAATGGACTTGAAAAAGATGCCAGAAAAGAAAAGTCCTTAGTTGGGTCATAGGGGAGAAAACAGAATTTCTGGAGAGTGGAGGCCTGGAATACAATCTCACTGGAAACAAAATTCACTTTTATGTGAGTTAATCTAGTGAGAATGCAGATATTCAGGACTTGTGAAAAGACAGAGACAAGGACATCATGGACATATTCACATTCTATTTTTGTTTGGTCTGGGAAAAATAAAATACCATTTGCTAACTATGAAGAAACTCTATGATGATCCTGTTCTTGTATCATATGTTGTGAGCTGGCAATCAGACCTAGTGAATTGACCTTCAGTCACAGGTAAAAAATAATCTTCTCAATAATAGGAGGTATTCTGTGTCTCAAATAAGATATATGTCATCATCATATACTTCCACATCGGCAACGGTATTTTTACTAGAGTAAATCTCTACACATGTACTTTTTGGCTTTTCCCTTCTCAGGTGATTTGAGGTTTACTTTCAAATCACCAGCATGTTAAGAATTCCCTCTGTTACTTGAACTGGAGATGTTACTTCCTTCTTATTCCTCAGACAGAGAAAAATAACTACCCCATATAAACACAGCCTCTACACTGTCAACCTATCACAACTACTTGTGAAGGAGAAAATAATTTTATAGTTGCTGAGAGAAACCAGACTATCAGCCAAGATCCGCTTGTTTTCATTTGGATAACTGAAAACAAGCTAAACTTTCTGAAAATCTGGTCCAACGGAAATAATAAGAGCTTTGATACTGGGTAAATAAGGCGGCTTTGTCTGCTTGTTACCAAATGTCCAGCTGTCATACACTTGTCAGGAACTTTATTTCACAAGGCAGTGGTTGAACCATATTCAGAAAATAAACGGGGCCAATTTCGCTGGGTGTTTGCGGCTGCTTCCTTTTTCTTCAAGTTGGACTGGAAATACTATAAAGAAAATCCTCTGAGCAATCTGTCCCAAACAAGGAAGTTCATTACGAAAAAAAATTAAAAGGGAATGGAGGAAGGGGAGAAACAGAGCTTAAAAGAATGTGATTTTTTTAATCTGCACTTAAAACTCAGAGAATGTGCAGCCTGGAATTATCCCAGTTTTATCTCTTTTATCGACTCATGTTACATTGATTCATGTGGAAAAAGAAAAGTGCTTTGAAAGTCCATGGTTTGGAGTTTTCTAAGATTCAAAATAAAGATCTGGCAGGAAGTGTCTCCAGAAACTGAGTTATATTCAGAGAGGAAATGTTCCCAAGAGGCCTGAGCTAATCAGAAAATAATAAAACCTGAAAACATTGTGAACAGAAACACGGTTTAAACTAAGCTGATTTGAGATATATAAACACTGACAGGAACGTGCAAATGTACACAGAGAAAAAGATTCAACATGATGTAAAACTAGCAAATGTCAAATACTTAGAACCAATCATTCTTTTTGGCTTTTTGAAAAAAATTTTTCTAAATGTGTTGTGTTAAATGAGACAGGGGAAGCTCTGTATTTTACCCCCTTTCTTATATGGTTGTACTGCTTGTACCATGATATGTCTTTCTTTGATGTCAAATCTTGGAATTAGACACAAAAAGTGCCTCTCTTGTGACCTTGAGCTGTGTGAAACGATGCTCACTTGAATTCTAAATCTTGGTTTTTCTCATGAATAAATGAGATAAATCCTGACCTCACAGAGTTATTAGAAGCACTAAGTAAGCACAATTTCCAGCTCTCAATAGATAATAAACAAACATTAGGCTCCAGAGTATTACCCAATCCTTGAAACCATTAACATACTAGAAATAAACAAGCGGGGTTGCAGTTTTACCAGCGCTTTTAAGAAATGTGTGACTTAGGTTTTAGAAATACATTTACATAATAAGCATGCCATCTCTCCATGGTGAGTTTGCTCCTCCACAGGACTATGTAACATACTATGCTGATTAAGAATGTGATGTTGAAGAATGGATGGGCAACAGGAAAGAAAGAGTGGCAGAGAATTGAGACGAACCCAAAGTGGTCAGTGCTGAAGCTCTAGCAGGAGAAACACAAAGGACCGTGTCAAACCCAGGCCAATGTGGTCAGTAACAAGGATGAGCACACTGCTGCCCACTGGTTCCTAGTACAATATAAACTGCCCTGGAGCGCAGACACATAAAGGTTATCTGAGGGAAAGAGACAGACTGGAGAGAAATGGCATACATATTTAGTAAGCAATTTTTAACAAGTATAAGTTAAGAATATTTTTAAACATACCAAATGTGGAGGCTCATTTATCCCAAGTGGTTCCTGAAACATATATAAAAATATTTTAAGAATTATAATCATATATTCTTAGTTGTCTTTGAAAAGTGCTGAAAATATCCTTTGGAAAACAAAAAAAAGTATATGATCTGACCAATTTACTAGATTCTTTGAACTTGGTAAGGACCCTCAAATAATCTACTAAGTTAGTTTATAATAACCTTAATATTTATTACTAATTCATGTTGAGTAATATTCATTTTGAGCTAAAATAAAAATGTGCCCCAGTGTCCATTAGAAAGACAGACCCTGAACTTCCCACCACTTCTCGCCCATCACTATCTCATGGGTACCCTTACTGTTCTGCCGCGCTTGTTATTATCCACACTGGCCACACTTGCGTAACTGTGTAACTTTGCACATGTGGAGATGATTTCTTCTTTGTGAACTGCCTTTTCTGCCCCACTTCCTTTCCTGGAAAAATTGCTTTTATCCTCTAAGACATCACTCAATGCCTCTCTTCTTGAAGTCTGGCATGGTCCCCAAAGCCCCAGGCTCTCCGTGCTCCCATCCCCGGTCCCTCAGCACTGCTTACACCTGCCCACACACTTCATTTTCTCACTAGTCATACTGTAAGTAATAATGCATAATTGTCTGTCTCCTCTAAGAGACACACAGACCCATCGGGGCAGGCTTATTCATCTTTTATCTCCAGGGATCAGTCCTGTCTGATATGTCAAAGGCACTAAATACATGCTACTGGATGAAAGAACTGATCAAATGACAGAGTTCCTAATAATCATGGGTGCTCATACTACCTACTCGCTCTCTATGGAGTCTACAGAAATTCACAGGCTGTTTCATTTTCTCTATAGATAACATACAACATAATCCAACAGTCCCACTTTTTAAAAGCTTGTTCCAAACATTCGACTGTATGCCATTACAAGCCAGTGGCACTGGCTATATTCATATTTAACTCACCAACTGGATGGGTCGTATTGACATGATTGTATTATTTGATCCTCCCCAGTCAAAAAAGCACTTGTATTTCCCTTTCTCTAAAATGTACTGTTCTCCACAGAAGAACTTCTGCTGGTAGGCAACCCATCTAAGTAGGAAAGAAAAGAAAAAAAACAGAGGTGACACAGAATTGAGCAACCAACAATTTAAACACCAAAGGAGCTCATGATTCTTACAACTTACACGCCACTTTTAACATGAATGGACCTTGTTTCACTGCCAAAGCCAATTTCTTCTAAGTCAGAAACTTCCTGATTTGTGATGTCAATAAACTTCCCACTTTCTAGATCAGATTCAAACAGTGTGATTGAAGATTCTATGAAATTCTAAAAAGAAGAAGAGGAAAGTTTAGGGAACACAGGCCTTTTGTTTTATGGCTTGCTGTATCTTAGCAATTTTCACATGCTTTGGGGATAATTTTCACATAACTTCAGGAAGAATTTTAAATGGCACTGAAGACAATTTTAATAGGCATTACTCCTAAACAGTTTAAAGAAAACATAAGTCTGAATTTACTTTAGGCAGGGAAATACAATTTTATGAAACTAGAAATTAGTTCACAGTCAGTAAATTGCTGGGACTTACAGACTATCATATATAACAGTAATTATAAAGGAAACTCAAGTCTGACTTGTGTCTAGAGAGCAAAAGTCACCTGAAACAGAAAGTAAACATAAAATGTACTGTGGGCATCGTGGGAGAGGATTTTATGAGCTTAAATATAACAGAATAAATGAAATTTGCTTGAAAAAAATTGTTTTATAAAAATTAAAATCAGAGGACAACATCTCCATGTAGGCAGACAGAATACTTAAAAATAACAGGAAAATTATAAGACCCAATTTGACACTTAATTCACAAAATAAACATTGACAAAAAAGATTAATGTTAAAAACAAATGTCTAATTTCACTACAAGAATAGAGAAATTCAAATTAAAACAGATACAGTTTCACTTTTTAAGTCAAGAAATACCTAAAAACCCAGTTTTACCAGGGAACATCCCTCGTGGAAATGTATGTTCTGCAGCTATTTTAGAAAACAATTTAGACATATATTTATGAAATTGTTTATCCTTTGAGTGTGATATTCTTTTTTTCTTAAGTTTCTTAAAACTAAATGACAGTCAATTTATATGCAAAGATGAATTATTTATCATAGTGAAAAGCTATAAGTAGTATAAATGTCCAAAAGATTTACAAACACAAACCTTTAAGCATCTACTGCTTGATGGAATAAATACAATTAAGGAGAGTTTTTAACAAGTTAACAGTTAAAAATATATCATATATTCACTTCTGCCAAGAGCTCTACATGCCTTATTTCTGATGTGATTATTTTACTATCACTCCTATTTTACAGCTGACAAAATTTAAGTCAATCCCCTGATGTATCACAGCAATTGAGGGGCAGAGATTGAATTTGAGTGTAAATCTGTTTGTCTACTCTAAACTCTTAATCACTGTCAGATATAAATGTAAGGATAAAAGAGCAGGACAAAAACTAAAACTTAAAAGCTTGGTCAGATTATAAGTTCTCACAAATCCTCAACTTTTCATTTAAAAAAGGATAGAAGAAAAAAAAACAGAAAAACCAAGAGTGGTTACCTTTGGGCCCAGAAGTTGAAAAATTTTACCCTATATTTTTTCAAAATTTCAAATAGGTGTATTATTAACTGGAAAACACAGAATGCATTAAAAAAATAATAAAAACTCTGCCTATTGTTTCATTGTTTGTAGCTCAAGTTTTAGACCTACAGAAAAATGTTATCAGCTTCTATACATCTCAAACACTATCAAATTTCTCATTATGATTATTATTACTACAATCTAAGATTACCAGGACAAACATTCATTTTACATGAACAAGCAAAATAGTATCCAATAAAAACAAAGCATCTATGAGGAGAAAGAAAATACACTGAAAAAAAATTCTCTTGCACTTACAACTTACATGTCAACTTTCAAGGATTTTAAAAACTGCTGACACAGCTGGGTCAAATTGCATTTGAAACTTCAGGAAAAAAAATAAAGGCTTTTTACCGGAAATTTTTATTTTATTTTTCTAAGCTACATTTGGGTTTTCAATTCCTCCTTGAGAGTAAACATGTGGAACCTGAGAATACCTGTCACCTTCATTACTTTTACATCTTTCTTAAAAATGTGGAAGCTAGGTGGATTCAGTCTTCATGACCCTCGCTATCTACCCCTTGTCTTATTAATACTTTTCAAACACATGCACTTATTATCTTTTTGAGCTTCCTTAAATCCTGATTTTACATATATATGTGTATATATGTATGCATGTATATACACACATATATACACATATTGATATTTCTGTATCTCATTATAGACATAGATCTGACATTTTCCAAATATAAATCTAGAATATACATATATTAAATCAAGGCTCCAACATCCTGTTGGAGATTTCTTGGGTTCCTTGGTGGCTAAGTGGTAGGGAATCCACCTGCCAATGCAGGAGACATGGGCTTGATCCCTGGGTTGGGGAGATCCCCTGGAGAAGGAAACGGCAACCCACTCCAGTATTCTTGCCTGGGAAATCCCATGCACAGAGGAGCCTGGTGGGCTATAGTCTATGACGTCACAAAGATTTGCACATAACTTCGAGACTAAACAACAGAGGTTCGCTTGCCCAGGACAAGCCTCCCCAGTGAAATTTTACAGCCTGGGTGCCATATCAACAAACTTGCTTATATGGACAAAATAAACTTCCGTCACCCAAGGGACAGGAACTTGCCTCTGTTTCTTACCACCTGAAAGCACACACCTGGCTCCAGGTGGCTGTGAGGATACACGTGGTGATGACAACTGGAGGCGGCAACCCAGGCCCTGGTCAGGAACTGCTATCAACAGCTGCCAGCCAAGCCAGGCCTGACCACCACGGGCAGGCCCTCAGGCTCACACACACCTCTCCTCCCCTGCTCTCATGACTCTGCAGTGACCCACCTCAGCTTTTATCTTGTCTGCCCCTACCACTGCTCTCTACTCCCTGTGAGGGTTTCAGGGGAGCAGAAATAAGCTGATGGATTCTACGGGCCACTGCATCACGCTGGAACAGAATGGGAACATGGGCTGTGACTGTGCCTTTTCATTGAGAAATCACTTGCGTTATGGGGTGATGTTTACTTGAGCACTGATTTGATGAGTCCTATGGCATGCGCTGTGGGAGGCTGGCAGCCGTGAGGAGGGTGAGCTGGGAAGCAGGCTGGAGGCACAGGCCATTGGGCCATGGTGCAGCCTGGGGCTGAGGAGAGAGGGAGGGGTTTACGGTCACAGGACCCGGGGCCAAGTACAAGTGCTGGCAGGCCACGGGTTCACAAATGAATATACTCACATGGCTGGAGTCTCTGGCCTTCCTGCTCTGGCTCCCATGCCCAGAGATGTGGCCAAGGGCACAGAGGTCTCCTAACAGAGACACTGTTCTCTTGTTTAACCTCCTGCTGTTGTTTATTCATAGCTTTTCTTGCCTTGTAGCTTCTGCCTTCCATCTTTTTCTAAAAATGTTTCTGAGTCTGCCTCCTGGCTTTGACCCTCTCTGCCCCTTACACCCAAACCTACCAAACAAACAATATCTGATCCAACTGACTAGCTGCCATCAATATGGGGCTCCTGCTGCGGGGAGCTCTAACTCTAAGCCAAATCCAGTCATCTGGGGCTAAATCTCCAGGGTCACATGTCCAAAGCAAACTAAATAAAACATGCAAGAAAACACAAAAACGGAAAACCAAACCTTCTAACGGCCTTGTTCATGAGGTGACTGTAATAGGACACAAGTCCTGTTGAGGTTACCAGGTTACCATCATTCCAACTGTAAGCACAATTAAATAACTTAAACTTATTAAAGAACTTCCAAAGTCACACGGATTTAAGTGGAGCTCTGTTCCTCTAGAAAGATGAATAATGAATAATGATGGAACCTAAAATCTGCACTCCACTTTAAAGCACTTAAACAGAACGAAAAATCTGGAGAGTCTAACACAGTCTCAGGCACAGTACTCCCCACTGTTAGAATGAACTAATGAGCCGTTGCTTCAGGGCCAGAACTAAGTCTTAAGGATCAATAATTTGATTATTTTTAAATTCCGTAAAACCCCTCAGCTCATCAGGTTCTGGAACTCCTATATGACAAGCCCCCTGGGTGGGCAGCGTCAAACAAGGTACCAAGACACCAGGGGAGATCTGATGTGTCCGTTAATTGAGGGGACACAACGGCGTCTGCTGCACACCACCTGGTTTTACAGATCTGAAAAGAGGCCCCGAGTCTGAAAATCAGAAAGCAAATCCAAAAGGAAATCCAAAACTTAGGCGAGTATGAAATTTAGGGAAAACAAGCATACCAAGAAACTTATAGAGAGAGCCAAGAATAAAAATTCCTTCTTTAATCCCTGGAGTCTAAATTACTGCTATATTCCTTCCTCCTGGTCCTTTTCTCTTTATAAAATAATCAACTCCAAGTCACTATATCTGCCTGACTCATTTGGAATTAGAAACACATTTCTGGTCATCCTCTCCAAAGCACTCCGTGACACAGACCACATTACCCCTATGGGACATGTCCAAGATCTGACCTTTGAAGATCCAGAGTGTTCCATACACTAGAGCCAGGACATTAGAAGACTGCATTATGTTATGCAACTTTCCTACCTTTCATCTGTTTATTTGATATTATTTCAACTTAGATCTCAAAAGCAGTGCTTTATTCTTTCCCAGGTTAGAGACCTTTGAGAGACTATCTGTCTCACATCAGCTCTGCCTGTTAATCCCACTGTCTATGACACCCCAAGAGCTGGTCACCCTATGTCTAACAATAACTGTATCATATACTTAAAAGTTGCAAAGAGGGTAGATCTTACATTGTATCTTATCACAAAAAAAATTAATAATTATAAAGAGGGCATGAGGAAACTCTGAGAGGAGACAATTATGTCCAGGGCCTTGATGGTCTGATGTGTATATACTTATTCCCAAATGCCTCAATTGTATACAATAAATACATACAGCTTTCTACATGTCAATCATACTTCAATAAAGTGGTTTTTAAAAAGAGAACCTCTATCCAATTCCATGCTACGAATGAAGAAAATATTTCATCTGAAAACATTTGTGTGAACATAATTTTCAGACTGTTTATAATTTAAATTTATGTAAATAAATCTTTACTATACACGTGTATTAGTCTGCAGAGTAACTATATATTTACAGCTACAAATGAAATGTTAATAAGCTGTTGGCTGAATTCGATTCCAGGTTTCCACTCCTGAAGTGCTTTTTAGTCTAATCATTCTGTGACAAGGAAAATGGGAAACGTGACATGGACACCAAAGTAAGATAAAGTCACCCAGCAAATTACAGCTCTGCGCCTGGGCACAGTACCTAAGCTCTGAGATTCTCAGTTTCCGTATCTGCAAGGTGGGAGTCATAAAAGTCTCTATCTCATCATCTTTGTGAAGATTAAGTATAAGTATGCATGTAAAGCCATTAGTAAGCCCCTGAAGATGTTAGGAATATCATAATGAGGATGATGATAATATCTTTACAAGCTAGTCTTAGTTTTTTTTAAACCTAATTTAAAGAGAATAGATTTTCTTTGAAGAAAATTATGTGTATTAAAAACTATGTGTTATCATTTTCATAAATACCGAAAACTTCTATTTGCAGCAGTAGTTTAACATGCAAATTTCTGCCAATTTTTCCAATGTATTTTCTCTTAGAATGTCTATATCAAGTATCTCCTGACTTTTTAGCTATAGTGTTTTTTTCTTTCCACATTTTCTGCTATTTGAAGAATTCAACTAGAGAAATCTTGGAGTTCTGGCTGTTTTAGTCACAGTCACCTTGGAAGATACCATCACATTCTCTGCTGAACATTTCTAGGAGCAAACTTCAACTCCACTTTTTTTTTTTTTTTAATCAGGAGGGAAATTATTAAAAATCATTCAATACTAGGTGGGAGATGCTCTGAATCATGATGCTTAACTTCCTCAATGTATGTTGTTACCATGAACTGAAAGAGAAAAAGATGCAGGCTTTATCATGTTTTGTCTGGCGTGTCTTTTAGTGCTCAAGGAAGACGTAGCTAGGGAAAACCCGTGGCCCTTGTACATTAGAAGTGTGGACTAAATACCTCAAAAGCTCCCTGTCCATTGCTCAGACAACTTAGTACCCAATCTTCAGTTAGCTCTGCTACACTTCTTTTAGGTAGAACTGATTTTCAACTCACTTTTTTACTAACAAGGATCACTGTGGACAAAAAGCGCTCCCTTATTCCCTGTGATTCTTCTCTCCCATTCCGGCTCCTGCTGCCCGACCAAGTGAGGGGCTGCCACAGTGGTGCTTGTGACCCTGACAGAAACTTAGGGACCAGAGCACAGAGCCCCCCCGGACCCAACCATCACCCTTCACTGCATCATCAATTCTTTCAAAAGGTGGCTTCGGAGGCCATGCCAGATAGTTTAGAGTTTATGTGGGTAAAGATTATTTTGGAAATATACTGTAGTGGTATAACTTCTTAATTATGAGAAAACATTGCCCTCTGAACACACTTCTGAAGTCTCCAGAGCTGGTCAGAAAAGTGAGCAACATCTGATAGGCAAGCTCTGATATCCTGCACAACTCTCTAGCGTCCTTCTATCTCTTCTTCCGTGTCTTCCAGTCCTGGAACATTCTAGACCTCCTGCCTCCAGGCTTACCTCCTTCACCCTCATGCTATTTCTTGATACATTCACCAAAAAAATAAAAATCTTTCTAAAATGCTAATCTAATCATGCTCGCTAGGCCTAAAATTCATTCTTTCTGGTCAAATCAAGAAAAAAAAAGTGTGAACTCCTCAACATGGCATATAAGGCCCTTCATTTTCTGACCCTGGATTCATCTTACTGAGCTCTAATATCCTACGTTTACTGCATTTCCAAAACATATCAGCTCCACTTATATGAGGGTTCCTCAGCTTCAGCACCAGCAGCATTTCAGGCTTCCCTGGCCTCTACCCACTAGACGCCTCGAGCCTGACAACCCCCCACCCTCCCAAAGCCGTAACAATCCAAAATGTCTCTAGACACTGCCAGGTGCCCCCTGCGCGAGCTCATCCCCAACACTGGCTCCCATCCTTGCTTTTTAAAATGTTAACCTCTTGCTAAAACATCCATCTTTCTTCTTCACCCTGTTCCCAAATTTCACTTAGCTAACTCTCAAACTTGAAATTTCAGCTCAGCGGCCCTCTTTTCCTGTCTACTTCAAAAGGGAAGTACTGGACTTTTCTCTGGGTATCCTGAACACTTTAGTGTTGAATCCAGTCACAGTCAAACAATATCAAACATTTCCATAGGTACTATCAACCCTACCACATAGGGAGTGAGTGTCTAGCCATTATACCTCTAGCAACTGACACAATCTACCTAACAACAAGTGTTCAAAAGTGATTATGGAATCAATAGATGAAAAATACACACAAATATTCTGTAATAATCATGGCAGTCAAGAAAGGCAAGCCATATAAGTCACTCAGTTTAACGGTCTCAGGTAGTAGAAACATTTTATCATTTTATATTCTACCAGAGGTCACGTCCAATTTTCATGGAAAGCCAAAAAAAAAAAAAAAGAAAATTAAGAATAAAGAAGTTAACTCACAGCTTGTAAGTACCGGAAAGACAAGATGGAACCACTTAATGCCCCAAAGGCATTACTGTCTTCAAAATCTCCTTCTTCAAGTAAGAACTGCTGGCCTTTAAAATGTTCTTTTTCATAGGCAACCCATCTACAAATAGAGGACGTACAACTGAGTTATTAATAGAACCGCAGTCAAGAAAGAGAAAATCATGATAAAGCGCCCAGGTGCATATCACCATCTCTTAAAAAAGCAATACACTTATTTTGCTAGCATTTACAGAGACAAACAAATGGTGTAAACTGAATGGATCAATAATTTTAATAGTTTGGAGGCTTTTCCCAGCAAAAGGTTAGCTGTTATAGGACTGCCACACAGGAACACATTAAATGGCTGTGGCCTGACCCTACACCACCATCAGAGCATGGCCGGAGAATAGCCTGCCAAGGAAAAAATAATGGAAAGCGCAGACAGACAATGAGAAATACTGCAAATTCACAATGAGATCCAAAGACAATCAGTCTTGTTTTTCTGATTAAGCCCTGCTGGAATCACAGAATGATCACTATATTAAACATGTATTTAGAGTTTAACTCGAAGGAACCTGTCACCAGCTTTGGATCTGAAACACATTACAGGAGGGTTTAGCAAGGAGAAACTGGGAAATGAGACTGGGATGGTATTAGCCCTGGTGGTCTAAATACATACAAAGACTTCTGTAAATATTTACAGGTAGGAAATGTTGCTCCCACCATTTTATCAGTGGTGAGAATGGAAACAGGAAGCACCGTGGCAGACTTTCCAAGGACAGAGGTGTCTTGACTTCTAATTTAAAATTATCAGTACCGAACACTGATAAACACCATTACTCATTAGTTCTTTAGGAAACTTACCTTAATCTCCAGTAACCTACAGTAGCTAATGCAGTGTGGGCATAGATAAAACACACGCTGCCCTGCTTAAATCTGCCCTTAGCTGGCACTGTGTAACTAGAGTGGGGCCCACTCCAATGGGGCAGATTCCAAGTGACTACTGTGGGCTCCTGGGTTAGGGACTTCTGAATTCTAGAGCTTGTCCAAATGAAGCCGGGTAGTGCTGACTACATTCTTTTGGGAAGATGCACAAAGTATTCCTAAGAACTGTGTTCCTAGGGTACAAAGTAACAGCAGCCCCTCAGTGCCCCTGAACTCATATCTAATTTCTGTAGGTGTGCATCTGGTAGGGAAAGGGGTAAGGGTCCATGTGAGTCAGAATAAACATTTTATATATATGAGCATATTCGTAATACATAAAGAAATGACTATTATTGTTTTCTTAAACTTCTATGTGAAAATAAATTTTACAAGAGAACTTTCAAATTCTAAGTTTATATAAATGGGACTATTCAAAACATGCTTTTAATATACCTGAATGGGAAAAATAAGATGCAGAAGACCTACTATCAGGTGAGAAATCAGTAAAGTATGACAGTTCAAAAATCTGCACAGCCTTTCTCAGTAGATTAAGTTTTAATTAAGATTCAACTTACATCTATCCAGGATATTTAAAAATAGATGTTATCTGAGAAAAATGAAGACACATCAACCTCATTTTCTCTAGATTCCTTAAGACAGGACAGAGGTGAGGAAGAGTTCCTCTTATTTACAGATAAAGTTCAAGAGTTAAAAGTGAAAAATAATGAAATAGTGAAGTAGGAAAAAAAAAAAGTAGAATTAGTGAAAAAAATAAAAGTCACCTGTTCATCTTTTTATTGGACATCACATTTTTCTCCTGCAGGTATCATATAAAAAATGAAAGTGTGCATAATGTTTTACGAGCCATAATATTTTGAGATTTTATAAAATAATCACAAATACACTTAGAAAATAATGCAAATCAAAATCTAGTTCATGATAAAAATCACTTAGATCTTAAAGGAAAGAAAAGAAAAATACTTTATCACAGGACTAACAAGAAGCACACGTGTCCACGGATCAGAGAACACTACGACTATATAAGAACACAATAAAAATGTATCCAAAACAGATTTGTTTTTCAAGCCTCTGATAACTTTTTTAAATTCAAAGGTGAGGAACTGGATAATAATATGCCAGACTGAGTAATATTCCATGGTGTATATGTACCACAGCTTCCTCATATTACTCAGCCATTAAAAAGAATTCATTTGAATCAGTTCTAATGAGATGGATGAAACTGGAGCCCATTATACAGAGCGAAGTAAGCCAGAAAGATAAAGACCATTACAGTATACTAACACATATATATGGAATTTAGAAAGATGGTAACGATAACCCTATATGCAAAACAGAAAAAGAGACTCAGATGTATAGAACAGACTTGTGGACTCTGTGGGAGAAGGCGAGGGTGGGATGTTTCAAGAGAACAGCATCGAAACACGTATATTATCTAGGGTGAAACAGATCACCAGCCCAGGTTGGGTGCATGAGACAAGTGCTCGGGCCTGGTGCACTGGGAAGACCCAGAGGGATCGGGTGGAGAAGGAGGTGGGAGGGGGGACCGGGATGGGGAATACATGTAAATCCATGGCTAATTCATCTCAATCTATGAGAAAAACCACTGCAATGATGTAAAGTAATTAGCCTCCAACTAACAAAAATAAATGGAAAAAATAAATAAATAAATAAAAGCTGTGTTGGGACTTCAAAAAAAAAAAATAATAAATAAATGGAAAAAAGAAAAAGAAAAAGAAAAAAAAAAAAAAAGCCAGACTGAGACAGGCTGGGGCCGGGACCGTTTGCTGCAGTGTTGCAATGCTTACACGTGAAGAAACCTCTCCTGGAGGGACAAAGGACAAAGAAACTATGAGACTACAAATCACTGTGTTCACATACAGTTGGGGCAAATTATGGACAAAAGACACAAAAAGACCAAAAAGAAAGAAAAAGCAGGGGTCAGGAGCAAAAGCAGAGAACTGTGCATGCCCTCCGCAGGGGATACCACCTAAGGGGGGGGCGAACCACTAAGCCGTCATTCCTGGACAACCCCCACCCTCACTCCACAGAAGGAACAAGCTCGCCTCCGCCCCAGGGCACGAGCAAGCAAGGGAATCCTGCTGTCTGCTCTTGATCCCTCTGCTGCAACAGGAGCCCCAGTAAAGCCTTGCCTGAATTTCCAGTCTGGTCTCTGATCAATTCCTATTGATTAAGGAGATCAAGAACCTTGGTCAGTAACAAGACCAGTTACAGACATGACCTACATATCCAATGCACTGCATAGTATATTTCCATTTTGGTTAGTGTATCCATTACTTGATCTAGTGTCAGAAACTGCAAAGACTAAGTCTCTAAATATAGACCCTTGAGTAATCTTAAGTCATTTAACTTCTTTGCATGAAATATTTGAACAGCATCTTTTGCTAGAATACAATGAACAAGTTATATGATGTACTGCAAATAAGAGATATTGATGCTTAAATTAAAATAAACCAACATTTCAAATATTAATAATTCAACCTATCAACAGAGAGATTAACACGTGTCTGAAGGAATTCTAGCCCTGAGCTGACCATGGCAATTAAGTTATGAGGAAAGCTTCTTTTCTATGGTTTTACCTGCGAAGATACAAAGTTTCACCCGAGTCCAGTAACTGCTGATTGAGAGTGGGGTAGAGGTGCTGTTGGTTACACTTGGATTGGTTCTTAGGGAGCTTTCTTAAAAACAGTGCAGGGCCAGAAGGTAAGCAATGTCAAGAACCCTTGATTTTGTAAACACACAACCCAGGCTACCTCTTTAATGAGGGAGGACTCACTGCCAAGACCCTTAGCACCAAAAGTCAACAGAGGTAGAACAGAGTGAAAATCGGGACTCTCATGCATGTGCATAATCTGTCGAGAAATAATCTTGTCTTTCAATTCTTATCTTCTATATTGTGCTTACAAATACTAAGTGCTTAAGTTTTAGAAACTGTTCCCTTCATTTAATCTATCTCAAAATCTCTAATACTAACAAGAGTTCACAGAAAGCTGTCAGTAACAGGTTCTATTTCCCACATTTCAGAAGGGATGTATATTTTTAGATTAAGGTAGGTTGTTTTTGCTCTGCTCAGCACATTTTTTGTGCTGATCTTCAAAACTAGACAAGGGAATCACGTATGGGAAATAAATAATACTCACACTCCACCGATGACACGGATTGATCCAATTCCATGAAAGTCTACATCATTTTTTAAAAAATTAGGGACAGAATCTATGTGTTCACTAAACTCTTTGGCTTGTCCATGGAAGTGAGGTTTTTCATAAATAATAACCTGAAAAATATGAAAAAAACCACTTAGCATGCTCTTATTTTAGAATAGATACATTCTGATTTATATGACACTGAAGGCCACAACCTGAATGAAGGACCACTGTTCATTTTCTTCCTTTATACTCAAATTACAGAATACTGTCTGACATTCAAAAGAATATGTGAGTCTTTATCCATGATAAAGATATCTTGATAATATGTTTCTCTTATATCAACATACTCAAATATAATTACATGTTCTATTTACCCAAATCCTAGGACCATTGCAAAGAGTAAACTCTCTTGAATTATCTATGTTTTTCTCTCTGTTCAATATTTTGATAAAGATCCACCTTATATTTACTGAATTTCCTCTGGTAAGAAACCAAAACTCTCTTGAGTTTGAGAAAACTTGCCATTTCTTGCAACACTGCTTGTATGATCACTACTAATCACTGAGAATTACACATGAAAATTCTTGAATTTAAATAAAAAAGTTCCTAAAAGTTAGAAATGATTGAAAAATGTTTGGTATTCTTATTGGATATTTGGTTCAAATGGGAGGAGAGAATGCAGTAGGACACAGATTTCTAGCATTTGGTTTACTTCAAACTTGGATTGGTACAAGTACTTCCCTTCTATTTTTATTATTTTATTTACCAAGCCTAAGCTGCCCTTGGGGTTCAGGGAAGTGATGACAGTAATAGCACTCATCTACCCACACTTTATCACCTGGTCCTATTTATGGCTGATGGCATAATTTGTATACAATTGGTGAATAAAATCCCATGCTTAGACACACGGAACCAGCAAGGTATAGATTCTTTATTTAAAAAGAAAAACAACAACACTGAGAACATTACACAGACTGAAAAAAAACATATTTAGTACTGCTCCTGCTGTTTTCTACATATTAAATTTTCAGAGTGCTGTATTGGAAGTGATGAAGTATTATTTGGGTTTAATACAAGCTACATACGTTGAACACATTCAAACTAAGTAAGAAGCAATAATTCTTTGATGAGTAAGTCACAAGCCAACATCTAACAACTTAAAAATTGTGACTGTCTAGGATAACCATTCCATTCACATGCCTCAGACTGCAGCTGTCCCCAGAAGAGCCAGCCCAGAGCTCTGATGCCACAGACAGAGGCCGAGACAAGTCAGTCGGGGAGCGTCACAGCCAATTCTGTACTCATGAGGGCACTAGTTCAAAACCCTGGCTGCAAGTCAAGAGTCACCTAGGGAGCGCTGAAAAACTTAAACCACACCCCAGGCCAAAGAAGTATCTTTTCCAGTGGAACCCAGGCATAAGCATTTCTTTTAGAACTCACATATGTATGATTCCAACATACTGCCAATTTGTATTAGATTCATTCAGACACTAAGTTTTAAAAAAAACTCCATCTGTGTGATTGGGAGAACGGTAGTCAATTCCACAAATTAGGAAGCCCAGAAATGGGAAAACTGGGGGAATTGTGCCTTAGTTTGGAGAGGAGGATGGATGAATCCCTGTGTCCCTGCCTGCCTCTGAAAGTGCTGTAGTCTAATTAAACAGAGGTCTGTTTGCATATTTCATCACTATGCTGATTTTCTTCCTATCTTCCTTTACAGGCATTCTACGATTCCATTTCTTTTTCTTTCCCAAAACGGACTTAATTCTGGCATTACTACCACCCGTTTTCGGCGCCTCTACTGTTCCCTTCAGATACTCATGCTTTCAAACTGACATCACCTAATAGAAGCCGCTTGCATCTCCTCCTGATCATCCTTCATCTTCATCCCGAGCACCACTCCCAAATGCCTGCCGGGTATTTCCACGTGAATGTCTAGCTATCACCTCAACCCCTTGCCCCCGATAAAACAAATATCAAGCCTACCATCTTTCCAGCCCAGTAGGTGCTTACGGGGTCTGACTGGGTTGTCAGAACAGACCCCCACCTTTCTGTACTAAGCCCTCTCGTCATTTGAGCGTGGGCCCTCAGCAACCCGTGCGCAGTCTCTGCCCACCAACCCAAGACACATTACCTAGCTATTGCCAGCATACATTCAGGTAATCACATTTTTATTGTAATAGTCCCAAATAGTTAAGGGGCTTCCCAGGTGGTGCTAGTGATCAAGAACCCTCCTGCCAATGCAGGAGATACAAGAGACGTGGGTTCAATCTCTGGGTCAGGAAGATGCCCTGGAGAAGAACATGGCAGCCCACTCCAGTATTCTTGCCTGGGAAATCCTGTGGACAGAGGAGCTTCATGGGCTACAGTCCATGGGGTTGCAAAGAGACGGACATGACTGAAGCGACTTAACACACACACACAAATAGTTAAAGATTTAATTCTCACACTTTTTAGCCTGCTACCAAAGTCTGTTCAAGACTCACCTTTAAGTTCATAGGCATTTCCACTTTCAGGCCACCCTTAAGATGACAAAAAATTTTAAATATTAGATACATTCTTATTTAAAATGTCCACAAGTAACTAAGTAATGTATGCAGGTTACATAAAAACTTGATTGGTGAAGATTACATACCAAATTTAAGTTGTGGTATTTAAAAATTTTAAGTATAGAACTCTACAGTAGTCAAAATCAAGTCAGACGATTCTATATCAATGTAAATGGGGTAAGAAATCTTGGAAAGATACTTTCCAGAGTACAGGCACTACAAGGAAGGAAACCAACCTTTAGTTCTTGAGTACATGTGACCAATTAAAGATTTAATCCCACAGCAGAGTGTCTCAAAAAGAAGAGTGGAGTTGTTAGTAGACTGAAAACTTTGATTTGGCAGGGTAGGTTTCTAAACCACTTAATACTCAATTTCTTCTCTACAAAGCCTTGGGCATTCTGTGTTAGAGCATTTCATCTTCCAAGTCCTATCACAATTGCTGTCTTTGTGACCACATGGAGATAGAGCATAAAAGGTAACCCATGCCTCACAAAAGCTCTTGTGTATAATTTCTTTGTTTCCAGTGCTACTCCACATTGATACTCCTTAAAATTTCTATTTTTGCTGGGTTTTAGTATTTTTTTAAGGCACAGCACAAAAACAGTTTGTCACATAGCCACTATTTAATTGAACAGTTTGCCCCTCAAATAAAAATATTTGCAACACAATAAATCATTAATATGCTTATTACTTTTAAGAAAGAACCATTCACAGACCTACCCATTTATTATTAATGTTGAACTGATCATGCATTATTACAACGGAAGAGTATAACATACAACAAGCAATTTTCTAATAAGCATCAAAAAAACAAATTTAAATTTTTTAAAGTATGCAAAATGTTCAGAGTATTACCTTATAAGGAAACATGTACAAAGTAAATTCAGACATCTAGAAAAACATTAAAATGGAAATGTTTCTAGAAACATTAAAATATTCTCACAAATACTGAAAGAAACAAAACAACAATGTATGAATACTTTGCCCATTTTGTAGCAGACATATACATGTCTCAAGATCGAGATGCATGACCAATCATCAGAGCTATCTTATTTTTGAATTCATGGATATTTGGGAAAATGTTTCATTTTATATCTTCTTACCATTTGAAGTGGATGCAATGATTTCATTTCTGCTGCAGAAATCTCAAAAAGTCCATGGTCTTCCTCCAAAACTATAGCTTGCCCCTTGAAATTAATATCCGGGTAGGCAAGCCAACTAAATAAGAAATGAATGGTTGGTTAAAGTATAATAGGAATACTTTAATCTGGTTCTGTAAGAGTTAGAAGCTAAAAAAAAAAAAGCTAAGAAGAAATCTCTATCACAGAATTACATTAGTAAAACGCATTCAAAGTGACACTGCTAGACAACATATAACAATGAATTAACATGTTATTAACTACTTAACATTCAGACACTATTCTAAGTTTATTATATGTTTTTCAAGCACTGGCATCACTTTCCTATTATATGTTTTCCAATATTTAAAAGTTGTGAAACCTTTAACACAATTAGGATATAACTGAAAATTAAAAATCATTCCACTATATTTCTGTTTTAAACTTGGGCAATCAGAGGTAGGGATTCCACTATGCATTTTACAGCTTTGATCCATAGTTTCAGAATCAGTATTAGTTCTTGGTTTCCCTGAGGAAGAGTATTTGAAATAAGATTCCTAAAAGAACCATCCAGAAACCAGCTAAACTTGATAATTACAGACAGTTCTCAGGACTGTGTTAATTACTGGGTCTGCCCAACAGTTCTAACATGTGGGAGAGATGAAGGGAGATGTCCAAAGTGACCCCTAAATTCAACACCAGTCATCATCAGAGCAGATGAAAATGGAGGAAGAGGGAAGAAGGATACACATTGAACCAGAAATCACAAAACTTGTGACTCAAGTCAATCTGGGACTGAATTAACACTGAACTCAGACCCACAGTCCTGAAGATACCTTTGAAATCAGAAAGGCCTAGGACCAAAGCCATGCTTACCAGCTGGCAGCTTAGCACAAGCCACGTAATTTTTTCATTTGTGACGGGAGAGTAGCTCTACCTATCTTCCAGGAACAGAAGAGAAATAAACACTGGCACTATAAAGGCCCTCAGTTACTACCAGCACTGACACAGACACTCTGCAAATAGGTCAGGCTCCAGAGTTTTAGGTCAGGGACATGTATTTATTTCTCAGTCCCACAAGCTGGTGGGTGAAAAGACATTGGATTGATTCATCTGTCAAAAATGGTGTCTGGGAACCTGTATCTGCTTCTGTGAGTCATCTATCAAAAACTTAACTGGATCTGAAAAGACGATGGAATCTGTTTTAAAATATGAAAAAGTCTTTCTTAGGTATCCAGAAGTATACACAGCAAAATTAACACTTCAGAAATGTGTAGGTCACCAATTGAAATATGAGACAAAGTTAACTTTGGTAGCCATCAATCACTGAAATGAACAGAAGCAGATACGTACACGCCTGACTTCACGGTGAAGGACACAGATTTGGGAATATTCAGCTCTTCCAAATTGGGGACCGCTCGCTGGATGTAGATAGGGCAACATGCCGGGTCAGACTGTGGGCAAAGCTCTATCTCTGGAATACTGCAATCCTGGAAAGAAAAAAAAAAAAAGTTGACTTTGAAATATCTAGAGACACACACTGCAGTATCCTCAATACCCTGGATATACAGTTACAATTATTCTCGCCTTTCAGCGGAATTTTTAACCAATAACAGCATAAAGGAAACAGTGTTTCTTCTTACCAGTCTGTTAAAGTACATTTTTCTAAGAAGTTACATTGACAACATGAGAATTATATATTATTGATTGAAAAATATTACCCTGATTGTTCCTGCTTTGTTTTCAAGAGTCCTGCTCCATTAAGCAATGTTCAAAGTTACTAATATATGAGTGCCAAGAGTTTGTAAGCCTTCCTTCTCAGAAGCATAACAAAGCCACAGGGAGGAAGGGAGTTAAATAAAAGCTGATCTCATGGGGAACATAAAAAATAAAGAACAGAGAGGCACTACTCTCTCAGCGGGTTATCTAAATTACCCTGACAAAGAAGTAGGAATTAGAGGTGAGGGTAAAGGAAATCTGGTTTCTTACTTGTGGTATTTATTTTCTGTAGTATGAGTTGGTTTGAAGAAGAAAGACATTATGCAGTTTGATCCTATACTTCATCGCACATCCACTGTCACCATGTCCTGTCAAATTTTTCTTTAAAACTGCCACTGTCACGGTCTTCCATCAGGCCAAGACTCTGATTGCGGGCCTAGACCACCGATCCAGTAAGCTTCCTCTTCACACAGCTGGGCGTGTGCAAACGCCACATCCCTCATCATACTCCTTGATTTGAGACCCAAGCAATTCATATTCATATTTTGATTTTCCTTTTAAAACATGGCAACGACCCACAACTCACTCACTCACAATAATCCACGACTACACCACCTACCTTCAACTCTTCAGTCATACTGGCATCCATGCTATCTCTGCACCTTGCCTCTCTAAGCTTTGTAAACATTTCCCTTATTCTAACTGAAGACATACTTTTCTGTCTTCTTACTTTTGAAAATCTTTTTTATAAAAATACTTTTGGGATATAATTGATTTACAGTCTTATGTTAGTTTTAGGTACATAGCATACCAATTCAGTTATATGTATATTTATTCTTTTTCAGATTCCTTTCCCATGCAGATCATTACAAGAACATTTAAGAAGAGTTCCCTGTGCAATCCAGTAGGTCCTTGTTGATTATCTATTTTATATATAGTAGTGTGTATATGTTAATCCTAAGCTCCAGTTTACCCCTTCCTGCCATGTTTCCCCTTTGGAAATCATTAAGTTTGTTTTCAATAATTAGTTCTAACTCAAAAAAGACCGTATCTTTTCTTAAGGAATCAAAACCACAATTATCTTTCCCTTCTCTGAAACTACAGTCATGTTGTCTAATCTATCTCAGCAATCCTGAGTGTTTCATTATATGACTCATGTTTCAGTAGCATAATTCTCATCTAGGACATTGTGGAATTCAAATGCCTCTGCTTTAATGAAATAGGTAAATACAATCAACTATTAGAGGTGACACTTATTAGACAGAACAATTATATTTATTATTGTAATCTCTTTTGCAATTTCAAAATGGTATCTAATTTTTTAATCTTTTTTCCAAACTGAGTTCTATTATTAATCATTATTAATCATTCTTATTAGTGTGTAAAAGCAAGCAAACTGATACATCTTGTTTTCAGAAAGTTCTAAAACGCAATACAGTAAGAAGGTATAACCTAAAATATCCTTTAAAGTATAAAAAGTTTATTTCCATCTAAAGTTTCATTTTAAAAAAATGGTCAGAAATGTCCAGAAGAGTCACCTGTCAGTCTTCAAGTCTCTTTGTTTGCTATTAAAAATAGAGTTCTAAAAAAAAAAAAAAAAAATAGAGCTCTAGTAACATTATTTAAAATGTTCCCCCAGGGATCTGAGGTACAGTAACAGAATACATAACTAAGTGTCTCACACAAATAAGTTTCCTCTGCATTGTGTTATACAAACAATGTTTGGGTGGTGTATTTTAAAAGGGAAAAACCTAAGAGGCTTTTGAGTCTACATCACACAGAAGGAAACAGCATAATGGAAAAGAGGTAATGATGGCTAAAAAATTGAAAACATAAGCAAGATTGCTTACATTCTCAACTGTCGTACTAGAGGACTGATTTTTTTTCTCTAGGTGGCTGAAAAAGATTTTACGAATAAGTTCTATTTTCTCCATGGTGGCTATTCACAGAAGTAATGTCTTTTGCAAGATTTGTGTAATTCTTGATGAACAAAGGGAGTAAACAACTAGCCTTACAGGAACCTAGCAACAGTAAACAGCTTGTACTCTTAGTAAAATAACGTTTATACGGTTTCCTCCCAGACCTTTCTAGTCATGATATACTTTCTAAATACATCTTGGTGAAATCTATAAGCTCAGACTATTAAAGCAACCAGTAAGAATGGAGACAAACCTATGGGAAGGAAACAGGGTAGGAATGAACTACATAAATAGTAAAAAACAAAACAAAATAAACCTCCAAAAACCAAAAACCCAAGAAACTACTCGCCTCTGCCTTACATAAAATACCTTCAGTCCCTGATCTAGCAATGGCTCTCTTGCTCCTCAGCTCACTAATAAGGGCAAACCTAATTAACTCCTGAAAGAAGGCAATGTCACTCCCTTAAAAAAAAAAGAAGAAATATATATATATATATATATATATATATATATATATATATTAGATGCATAGTAAACAGAGAAATGTTCAGGATTCACTTTTTCTATTTGAGGGAAAAAAGCACTTGACTCAAGGCTCACTGCACTGTGACTCCACCTCCAATTACTCCCACGAGGGGCGAAGATGACCCCTGAGCAGAAGCTATAACTGCAGATGACTGACGCTATGTTCTGTTATTTGCTCCATTGACAGCAAAGTGAAGATATCACGAAAGTATTATCTTCAAAGGACAGTCTTTAAAGCTTTGACTACTTAAGATGAGAGCCACTAGAAGATGGTGAAACAAGATAAAGCTGGCATGGGCCTAGGTGAATTTGGAATGGCCACCATGAAAATGAAGCTATCAACAGGCCGAAATGTGACAAGTTTACAAAAAGGAAGCATTTTGATGCCTGATTCTTACTTTGTAAAATATTTAGAACAATGCTAATGCCTTTTCCATTCAACGCTCAATAGTTTTATTTTCCTTCCTCACTTCAAGTTGCTAGCAAGTCCAAGTCAAGTGGGCACTAACACTGCAATTAAAAAAAAAAAAAGACTCTATGAACAAACAATGGAAGAAGGAAAAAATGTAAGCATGACTTAGTCTCTTTTATAATGCATCCAAAGCAAATGGCGGATGCGCAAATACCCATTTAAATACCCATGCTCAACAGATTGAATTTTTTGTTTGATTTTATTGTTTGATTTGGGATGAGGGTGTGAAGTTTGCTGCTTACAATACCTTATTCATTTTTTTTTTTCTCTTCACTAGGCCTGGCATGGTGCCTGACATTCATAATGAAGACACAAAACCACATGCTATTAAATTTTAGAAGATTCCAACTACAAAGTGATTACCTGCTTCAAGGAATTTCCTATGAGTGAGTTAGCTAATGAACTGAGTACTCAAATGCTGCTTGATGAGCTGAAATGCTTGAGATTAAATTTTTCGATGAAAATGCACACTGCCCTCTGTCCTATAGCCATCAATCTCCCACACTACCAGCAAGCCACCAACGTCCACCTCAGGGACACCAGTGGCTCTGCTAGGGCCTCCCTCACACTGCCCGTGCTGCCTAACTCCTGTCTGCTCTCTCAAGACGCCAATCTGGTGCCGCCTGCTCCAGGAGAGCGGCGTCTTCTCCGTGACCATGTGAGGCCCTGCACTGCGCGTCTGACATCCTACAGGCATGTGACTCAGCTGTCCCTGTCCAGGACTCTGAGCAGTCTGCAGGAAGACAGCATATGGAACTTGTGTTTCTCTTCCCCGTGCCTTCGACAGCATTCGGTCCAAGAGCAGACACAAATATTTGTTAGACACAGGCTTAAGAGTTTTGCAGAAAGTATTAATTCATGCAGACACCCCTTTAAGATAATGAGTTTTTCTGTATGCTGTCTGCAATTATCAAGGGTTTTAACAGCAGTGATCCAAATCATCATGATAGGGTCCACTTCAAAGTAGACATTGTTTATATATAAGTAGAATTTCCGTAATTTGAAAAATATGTATGTCCATGACTGCCGCAGGAGTAACAGCACTAATCATGTACTACATTACTGCTGAAGGAACCCTTAAAACACATGGGACGAGTCTGTCCTAATCACTAACTCACTCCTCTAAACCATCAAGGCACCTCCCACAGTATGTTTTATTATATGAGGAAGGCAAGGTCTTCCTCATCTTAGTATTAATAAACAGAAATTAAAAAGCAACATTTTCCCCTTCCTTTCCCCAACCTAGCTTCTATAAGTTTCTTCTAATGTTCATCTATCTCCCCTTCTCTTATAAACACCACACCCACCCACATATAAACACCCACAGACCTCCACTAGAAAAACATATTTGGAAATATCCCAAAGATGTCTGGATGGTATACTCCAACTACTATTAAAAATACATATATATTACAACATGTAATATTTCATGTACCATATTACATGTAACATTTAAAATTTTCATTCAACTTAATACTTTACACATATCTAGTCAAAAAATTATCAACATGATAACGAAGATTAACAAAATTACCACAATTATGATTAATAGCAACTATCTCTAAGCAGTGCTGGGCCAAAGAACAGCTTTACTACATGACAAATGACACAAAATTTAAAAAACAGGGAAAATAAAAATCAACTGTCCTGTTACCTTTAAGACACGTTTGATAGAGCCCAACACAAAGTTTCTTTGTGGATGCTTTCTGTTCTGAAGAAGCCAGTCTCGATTTAACACCTTTTCTCCTTCTTCCAGAACACATTTCTGACCTTGGAAATGTGGTTTCTCATATAAAATCCAGCTGAACAAATATAAAAAAGCATGATCAGTTATAATTAACCTTCTAAGAAATGAGGCATAAAACAAATATGAGAGTTATAAGTCACAGACTACATTGTCTATTCAAATTTAAAAATCTGGGCTATTTTCTACTACTAGCGTATAAACCTATTCTGAAACAATGATGTACACTGAACAAAGAGTCTCAGAAAGAATATAAGTGCACAACTTATAATGCTTCCTAAACACAGCACCACAATCTATGCTTGTGCCTATATTTACGTATACATACATTTTATAGATGTTATATACACATTTACATTAAAAACAATAGCTTAACAATTCCAAATTCCACTTCTACCCTAGTTTTCCTGTTGCTGGATAATAAAGAACATGCATCTTATTTTATTATTTGAAGACACACTACATCACACTGTTTATAACATGAATATTGACCAGTGGGTAACCCAAACACCAGACAAAGAAATTCTGGTCCCTGCATGTCCATGAGACATGGTCCATAATAACAAATGAGAATTTCCAGTATTTTTATGCCATACAAAGAATCCTTCACTTGTTGCTTATGTCAGTGATACAAATGACTTTAAGCATGTGGCCTTCACATTTCCTTAGCATCCCACAAATTTTGAACTCATTTTCAAAGCTATGGTTCATTCAACTTAAGCATTCAACTTGTCAAATCTATCCTGCTAATCATGCAGTTACGAAATGGTACCATTTTACTGCAGGCTGTAAATACTAAAAACAACCTATATTTTCTAATTAAGTTATAAAACTCTAATGATGTTTCAAAAAATTATTCTGGAGAGAAACAGATGTAACCATAATACAAGAAAAATATACCGTATAAGCAGTAAGAAAACAACTTAGGGGGAAAATATTATAAAATTTTAAGAGATCTCTTACCAGCCCCTTACAACTTTTATCAGTACCCCACTTGGATAAGACCAAGATGTAGCATCAGGAATATTACAGTAGATCTCTTGTTTATATTTTCTTCCATGGAGATCATAGATAACCATCTGCAACATATAGTAAACAGACATAATAACTAATTTTAAGAATGCATTTAAAATTCTAAGATGTCCTAGAATGTAGAAAATAAAATATCCTGAATACATAAAAGTAAATACCACTTTAGATGCTAAATTCCTGAATGAAATAACCATTTACTAAGTCAGTTAAAAGTTTCTACCTTAAACTCCCCAAACCTAAACACAATCTCACTTCTTTTATTCTAGCCTATCTAAGAAACTCATGCTTACCTTCCCAGGCCTTGGGTTCCATTTCAGGGTTTGTCTGTCAACATTCTGAAATAATAAAAGTGTAAGAAGTGAGCCATAAGAAAGATACACAGAAAGATAGTTCACTTTCTTAGCAGTGACAAATCCCATTTATTGCATATTTGTTTAGTGAACATCATCACAAGGTGAACTTCTAGGTATTACAAGGGATAAAAAAGTGAGTACAAAGGAAAATAAAGCCGTGTCTCCGTCCTCAAGAAGCTTACAGTTTGGAAAGGAGAAAAGATGATCACATTTTCGTGACTCTTCTGGGGAGAGATGAGGTTAAACCCTCAGGTACGAAACAATCAGAATCTCAAGGAAGTCAAGAGAAAAGGCACCAGCGTGGAGGTGAGGGCATGGCAGACAGAGGTTCCCAGGAGGCTTGTGGGAGGAAGTGGTATGGAGAAGACCTTGAAAAACAGGATTTCAGTAAGTGGAAAAATGTGGCAGGCTGCTGCAGGAGTAGTAAAGAAAAAAAAGTCCAGGAAGAGAACATCTTGAGACAAAGTACAGACATCTTAGAGGGTGTGTAACCGGAGCACGGAGACAGGCTGAACAAACAAAAGCTGGGGACCTTGCAACACCCAGTCAAGAGGTTGCACTTGACTTAACAGGCAGCAAGGAATCATTAAAGAAACATTTCTGCAAAGCCCAGCCTTTCTTTTAAAAGGACCCTGCCTTACAAGCAACTGGCTGGCATTCAAGTATTAGCACTTGCTACTAAGGGTATTCAAAGTAAAGATATAGCCCTTGGGAATCCTAAAGGAAGTCCCATGATCTTGGGAATGTCAGAAAGAAATGTCCCAGGCACAGTGAATATTCGGTAGTAAACATTCAAATATTTCTAAGTTGAATAAAAGTGTAACTGAATTTCAAGACATTTTCCAGCTATAATGTTTTCATCTCCTTTTTCTCAAATTAGTCTGCTCGTTGCCCTGCTAAGTATTAAGAAAAATAAGACCAAGTACAGTGAGGCTGTTGTCAGGCAAACACTTAAAATACTTTAAATATTTAAAATATTTTTAAATACTGCAAAATCTTTTCATGAGACACAAGTTCAACGGAAAGTGACAATCTTCCTACATTCAATACCTTGAGAAATTCAAAATGTTTTCACGATTTAGTTTGAAGACTAGAAGTCAGCAAAGAACTGAGATTGTAACTTCTCTCTTATGCCTTTTAAATTCTGATGAAGCAATTTTGTTTTCTCAAACGTAACAGTCCAATTAAAATACATGCAGTATGATATACACTTCAACTAAAGAACAAAGTAACCTCTGGTATCTTTTTTAAACAATCTTTACACAACCTCAAAACACTGATTTTCCTAATAAGCTTTTAGGTCATTTCATGACCCAAAGCACTACTTCACTAATTAATAATCATAATAACTTACCTCTGTGAATGGGCTTAATCGGCCAGGGGTGTCTTGAGCGCGGAAATACTTTGACACTGGTTCCTGAAAAATTCCACCGAATCTGGCTCCTTTCTCTGAGGAATGGGTTTTAGAGGTCTGCAAATACTGATGATAAGCACTCTTTAGAGAAGAATGTAGTTTGGAAGTAAGGTCAGATTTTTGCAGAAACGAGGCCTTTTCTGGCCACAGACCAATCTGCAGGTTAGAGGTAGCAGGCTCCTTTGACATCACATAGGAATTCTCAGAGACTCCAGTGCTCTCCTGGTCATCATCAGAGCAAGATGTAAGGGAAGAATCTGGCCGCTTGAAGGTAACAGGTTCCTGCCTTCGGGCTCTCAGACGTCCTTTATGCAGCGGCTCTTCCCCCCCTTCCTCTTCTCCGCCCTCCTGTCTGTCACCTTCATCAAAATTCATCTTTAGACGCTCCGACACTGACTGGAGAAGCGATAGTACAGAAGAGGGCTGGTTTGCATTCTCCCTCGATTTCGAGGCGCCGTGGCGACCAGGGGAGACCTCGCTGGACAGAATGTCCTCCTGAGAGCTGTCGTCCTCGTAAATGGGAGACAAAGCCAAGGGATAGACCTTGAACCTCTTGGCCTCTACCGATAAGAAGGTTTCCGAACTGTCACTATCGAATGCCTCACCTAATCTGGCTTCCTTTCCAAAATGATGGACGAGGTCAGTCCTACTCTCAGACCTCTCACAGGCGACGCCAGGCACGCAGTCGGGAGCGGTGCGAGGAATCAGGAGGGAGTGTGCCCCTCTTACCTCGGCGGGCGTCTCCCTGTCCTCATCCTGGAGGGGCTCCTCATACAAGATAGTGAAGGAGGAATTTTCCTGCTCCTCCTGAGAAACGAAGGCTAAGTGAGCTTCTTCCTTTTCGTCGCCACACTCTAGGTCTCTTGCTTTCTTATGAACTGCAGTCACAGATGCTTTCCTGTCCAGCCTTCCCATGCTCCCCTCGGGCTGAAAGCCCGGCACTGCTAGGGCTGGGTAGCCTTCATAATCCTTACTTAAGGTAGGCGATTCATAGCCCCCGAAGCACGAGGCGAGTCTAATGTCACGCGCTATCAAGCCTGTCTTCGTTTCAGTAGACTCTTTCTCCACTTCTCTGCCGCTCCTGTCAGCATCCTCCTGGTATGCTTTTTCAGCCTCAGATATGGGAGATGTGGCCTCCGCCTGTACAACGGGCATCTCCAGACCTGTTCCGTGTATTTTCTCAGAGCTGACTGCTGTGGGAAACACTCTGTGTTTCCTGATGGTCCCATCAGAATCTTCTGGGAATGTGCTTTCCATTTCTCTCTTAGAGGGTGTGGACAAAGTTTCCCCACTTGTCCCCTTCACATCTCCCTTACATGTATCAGAGGAGGCAGGTACTGCCTTCTGGGGTGCTTCTGTCATTTCTAACACAAAAGGAGGCATCATTTCAGTTTTCCGAATAACCCCTTCAGCATCATTTTGGTAACTGCTTTCTAAGTCTAATAAAGGTCCTTCAGTCTTTGCAGTGATCCCCTTACCATCTTTTTGGTAGACATTTACCACTTCTAAAGTAAGGGACATCATCCCAGTTTTGTCCACCTTTCCTTCAGCATCTTTTTGATAAATACTTTCCATTTCTAGTGTGGCAGGTATTGACTCAGGCTTTTCAGCAGTCCCCTCAATATCTTTTTGGTAGACACTGTCCATTTCTGACACAACCGACGTCATTCCCATCTTACCAACATCCCCCTCAGCATGCTTTTGGTAAATATTTTCCATTTCTAATGTAACAGGTGTCACCTCAGTCTTTGCAATATCCCCTTCAGCATCCTTTTGGCAAATATTTTCCATTTCTAAAGTGGCAGGCAATCCCTCAGTTTTTTCAATATACCTCTCAGCATCCATTTGGTATGCTTCTCGCATTTTAGGAATTTCAGCTGTTCGCTCAGTTTCTGAGGTACTCAATTTGGCATCCTTTTTATGTGCTCTTCCCATTTCTGACACTGGGGGGACTGCCTCATATTTCATAATATTCAACTCAGCATCCTTCTTATTTGGTTTTCCCATTTCTAACATGGAAGGTATAAGCTCAATTTTTCCAATATTTACTTCAGTGTCCTTGTGTATTTTCCCTACTTCTGACATTGCAAGGGGTGTGCTTTTGTTACCGTGTCCTGGCAAGCTTTTTTCAGATAAACATACAGAAGTATCAGACAAGCTGCTGTTAGATGTCCCAGGTACATGAATGTCATCATTTACAAATGGAGGCCATTCGAAATTTAAAACAAGAGTTCTTGTATCCTCTGTCTCAGGTTTGTGATGATCAACACACTCTGTCCCCATTTTCTCTTTAGAGTCCTCCTTGAGAAATGAGTGTGTTTTTGCCTTATCACCTAACCTTGTAAGGGGTGTGTTTTCAGCTAGTAAAACAGTATCTGATTCCTGCAAATTTATACTATCAGACTGCCCATCTCTAGTTCCTGAAAAGGGGGATTTTTGGTAGAGAACAATTTCTCTTCCTCTTATTGACTCTGTGTCACTACCTAAGTTACTTACAGCAAAGAATCTACCTAATACTTTCTCACTGATTTCACATGTGCTTTGATTTATTGCCTGTTCTGACACCAAGAACTCTCTTACCATATCACATGGCTTAACACTATCACTATTCAGAATTTTTGAAGTATTAGCCTGAAGTTCAGAATCCGAGGTACCCTGAGCATCATTTGCTACAGTTTCTTGGGCTGAATAAATAATCTGATTGACTAATTCCCTAGCTCGGTCCTCTAACAACCAACATACATTCATTTTATCAGAATCAAAAAGGAGACTGTTCTCACCAGCCACAGGTGAAACACAGGCCTTTTCTTCCCCGTGGACTTCAGGTATGTTTTCCACAGCCTGCTCTTCCAAATGCTCTGTGGGCTGGATCTCTGTCAGTGTTACTTCTGATGGGTTTTTCTTAGGGATGTCTTCTTCCAGGGTACCTGGATTCATTATGCCGTCTATGGCTCTAGGTTCCTGGCAGGTACTGACTGAGTGTTTGGATTTTAGCTCTTCCCTGACAGAATTAAAGGCCTCCCCAATCAATGTAACAGCCTTTTTACAGAAATCACTCTCGAGGTCCAAAAGTTGGGCATGTGCTGTGCTCCTCGCTTCTACATGCTTAGCAGAGGCCTCAGAACACTGCTGGCTTGAGCTGTTAACTGACGCTGGGGTCCCAGCAACTGCTCCAGTCGCTGCTTCCAAGGGATTGTCAAACTGGGCAGCAGTTGGGAAATCAAGAGATTCCATCCCAGTAGGATCCCCCAGATGGTCCTGAGGTGGGGTGACTTCTGCCCCTGTGAGGACAGATGCTTCCGGTTCCAAATAAGAGCGATTAGGGTCCGGCAGGTTACTTGAGGAGGCACTTTCATGTGGGGCATCTACGGGGACTTTTATAGAACTAAAATTATTTGCGGGGTTACATGAACTTCTAACCATGCTAACTTCAGAGTTACTGGAGGAGGAAGGCAGGCTGTGAGTACCACCTCTTAGCGAATGAGCATCCTCTTTCTTTCTGGGAGATGAGGCTCTCTTTTCTGGTCTCAGCACAGAAGGATTAGGAAGGAAACTTGAATCCTCAGATGCAAAAGCCTCTTTTCCCAAACTGATACCAGAACCCAGAAAAGGTGACTTGGCTTTTGTGCTGTCGGTTTCTTGGGATTTGGGGGAAGTATTAGCTAAGCAGAGTTCTGAAAAATCAGAAATCTGTTTGCTCCCACAAGGAACTGAAGGTGGATGGATCACAGAAGCCCTGGCTGCACAATTCTGTGCTATCTGCCTGTTAACTTTCTCATCATGAACAGGAGGTGAAGTCTCAGGTCTATTACTCTGGAGATGAGCAGGTAGAGAACTGAAGGCTCCCACCTCAGCCCCCTGTACACCCTGATATTTAGAGGCAGAAGGTGAAACCTCAGTTTGGCAACTCTCTTTCAGGCTGGCATCTAAATATTTCTCTTTCATCTCCTCATGATCCACTAACTGAAAAATTTTGTCCTGTTCAACTTCTAGGGAAGTCAATTCTGATAAAGCAGGATTTGCTGGCACTCCTGTGATTTCAAGTGGAGAAGAAATTTCATCCTGAGAAATGTCTCTGGGCTCTGTTCGGGAAACAGGGATCTCGGAGAGACTTAGAGTTTTTCCTCTGCCAGAATGTGACTTAACAGGAACATTGCTCTGACCACCAATGTCAGCTTCTGGTGACATTTCTGCAATGCTATCAGCTTTGGTTTCCAAGGAGAAAGAAGAATCAAGCTTGTCTGCAGTGCTCTCACTTGCTGCGGTGCTAGGTAGCACCGACTCTGCTTTTTCAGGGTCTTGAGATGAAGTGGAACTGTGCCCCCTGGAGAGGCTTGCAGGCTCAGAGCTCAAGTCCGCTGCAGGTATGTTGGCGTCACTGGCTTCGAGATCCAGTGGAAACTGGCAACTCTCCCTATCAGGAAGAACCTCCTTGGACTCAAGAGTTGCAGGTGCATGCTCAGAGTGAAGGCACGCAGGGAGACTCTTCCCGTCTGTGGCCTCCACGTGATTTGCCACATGTTCATGTTGACACTGACAAGGCTGACTGGAGATACCAACAATGTTGACATCTCCAGTTTCAGCGAGCACAGAAGAACCTTCATTCTTTGAAATAGAGATGTCCTCCTGGCTCAGCATGCCAACTCTGGAAACACAGGTAGGGCGTGAAGCGCTAAAATCTGACTTTTTATGCCCAAGGCTGGGAGATGTCCTGGCATCAGGTGACGCTTTGGCTTGTTGAGGACTCTCAGAGTCAAGAAGGGATTCTGAAATGTGATTTCTATTCAGTTCAGGGGCTGTTTTATTTTCTAAGCATGTTACAACTACTGATTCACTGGTGTGTTTTACAGAGGCAGCTTCCTTTTGATTCACCCTAAAGGGAGGCACTTTGTCGTGTGGCCTAACAAGGTTTGTGACTTCTGTTAGTGATAGTGGGTCAGTATCTTTGTGTAATGACTCGATTCGATCTTCTGGAGCTTTCACATGACTTGAAGTAGTGGGTTCCTCGACTGACGTGTTTCCCGTTTCTTGCTTGATTTCTGCAGGAGCCACATATTTCTGTGTGTCTTGGGCAGATGATCTGTTTCCGGCATTTACAAGTTCTGTGTCTGTTACAGCTTGTTTCTGGAAAGCCATGGGGCCGGTGTGATGGGCAGCCTGCTTTGATGAGTTCTCTCCCGCTTGCTTGTCAGAACACTTACTCTCTGGCAACTGCGGAGCTTCACGCCTAATTGATTTATTTGGACTTGGCAAATCTGCACTTCCATGTGTGGTAGGGCCACTCCCATCAGATTTACTACAAGAGCAGTCAGAAATGGCAGGGTTCTCGGCCTGCACTGGTGTCCCATCACTCATCAAGGGGCTGGTTCGTTTCACCATAGTTCCTGGCGTTGCTGTCCTCTGCAAGTCCGGACTGTGAGGAATTTTGCTGCTGTTGCTTTCTGTAAACAATGCGGAACATCCCAAATTTCTGTCCGTCTGAGAACCTGGTGCACAACTCAAATGTTGCCGTGAGTCAGAGTCTCCAGAAGTGGAGCTGGAGCTAGTCACAGAACAGGATGATCTACTTGTCTCGGGTCCCCCAGGAGAGGCTTTATTTAAAACACCCCTGGAAGAAGCCATGTTGGTCAACCCTTGGTTGTTTGTTGAATGGCTTTCTGTGTTGAGAGCTCTGTGGTTACAATCAGAGTCTTCTAACTGGCCTTCAGGCACTTGTCCTTCCACAGGTATGCCTGTGCTAGCTGATGACAGTAATAGCACCATTCCAGCCTCCATCTCACTTCCAGGGCCACGATGTGTGCTTGTACTAGGGTCAGAACTTGCATTTTCTCTGTCTAAGGGATTCACGGTTTCCGGCACTGTCTGCTGCTTCAAATACTTCTGAATTTGTCTGGGGCCTCGGTAGGTTGCATATGTTACTAAAGGCCTCTCTGATTTACCATCCATTTGTCTGCAAAAAGAACAGCATCAGAGTATCAGGAAAGGTAATTATGACACTTCATCACAGCAATTCCAGAAATCATGGTGAAGTGTGTCTTTCAAATGCTCCTATTCTTTATATGTCTAAACTTGGGAAGGAAATTCTTGAATGTTTTAGTTCAGGCTGTCTGTATTAAGCATAATACAGATTTGACCAGCAGCACAGGAATGTCAAGCCAGCCTGAATGTTTGAGCTCCTCAGAAATGTCCCTTTCACTTGATTATGTCTGTCTCTCCCATGATGATTAATGGAGAGAACATGGGCTGACAAACCTAAGGCTTAGGTTCTAATAATAGTTTTGATCTCCAGTGAGTGCTTGACTAGAAGGAACCACAGCGCCTTCGTGCCTCACATTGGTATCTCATGGCTACATCACTGATTTCTGCACCATATCAGAGCATCAGAGCAAGTTTCTCTTCTTTTACTTAGATGTGAATTTGGAACAGTCGCTTTTGGCACAGAGGCAGAGAAGTTGTAAAGAAAACACCTGGCAAGATGTCTAGCCCGCAGTAAGCATTCAGCATATATTTATAAGCCAATAAACGGCAGAACTCCCTTAAAAATCCTCTCTCCTGTTAAGCTCTTCAGAGATTCAATTAGCATGTGCTGTGTTTAGTCACTCAGCTGTGTTCGACTCTTTGCAACCCCATGGACTGTAGCGTGCCAGGCTCCTCTGCCCATGGGGATTCTCCAGGCAAGAATGCTGGAGCGGGTTGCCATGCTCCTTCAAGGGATCTTCCCAACCCAGGTCTCCTGCATTGCAGGCAGAGTCTTTACCATCTGAGCCACCAGGTTAGCATAATGAGTATTAAACTGGCTGGGCAAATGCAGAAATCAAAAAAGATTTCTAGCACCAATTCCCAGCTTTTTCTCAGGCCTAAACGACAGTTCCTGATATTCTCAGCATCCATTCTTCTGGAGAATCTGTCTCTGGGAGCTCTGATGCTATGCTATGCTCCGTTATGGTCTCTCATACACACCATTCTTTCCCCTTCTTCAATGCCAGCCCCAGACAGAAACTCATACCCTCCAAGACTCAGCTCCCAAGTTATTTCTAATGCAAACCCACCCTGGGACCTGTTTACACTAGAGTGGGCAGTTAGCCTCTGATCTGTGGGTACAAATGGCCCTGAGCACAGACTTGTCATAAAAAGATCTATGCACCAATTTATTTCCCCACTAACCTAGTGACTGTTTGAAGACAGACACTATATCTTCATCATCTTTGTATTTTTAAGTGCCCTACAAAAGACCTGACAAATGGTGTATCTTAATAGCTTTGTGTGAATTAATGAATGGCTTAAGTAAAGCAATGATACTAAATGCTAAGCGATTTGTTTTCGACTTTCTTAATTGGATCCAAAAAAAGCTGATACAAAAGTGTTTTCAATTCTGCATACTAGTTACATTTTAGTGTCTCAACTACAAAAATGTATGGTAGAAAAACCTGATGTATATTCTAACATTTTCAGGTTAAACATATAATTAACAAAACATTATAGAACTCATATGAATAACTAGGAAATCCAGTTATTCCAATAACTAAAAATGATGTTTTTTTCTCCCCAACTTTAAAGCAACACCATGAAGAATGATAGATTTGTCTGCATGATAACATACAAAGTAAACTTCTGAGATGCAAAATCTTCATCACCTGGCCCCATACAAATTCTTTAATTTTAGCTGAAACTGTTTATTTCAACCTATATAACTGCTGGCCTCTAAAATCCTACTGGCACCACTATTGTACAAAATTTGTATTGGTTACATTCATTTACTTTTACTGTCCATTTTAAAACAGGTATAGAAGATGTGTAGAGAAAAGCTTTGCCTTGGAGAAGTGATGTTAGCTGCTGCAGGAGTCTCAGGCTAAACCAAAGACAGTTATAAAACAAAGTTAAAATGCAGGATAAGGGAACCTGTCTAAGAGAAAAAGACATATAGGCAAATTTATGTCATTGGTAAAATCCTATTTTAAAATGCATAAATTATTCAGAAAGTACAAGAGCTTTTCAAAACAATGTATCAAGATCCAGAAGTATGAAAAATAACAAGTTTTGTTCGATTTTTCTTTAAAAGTTTTTACATTTTATAATTAAAAATCTACTTTTAAGACTGCAATGTTTCCCCTCCACCCCAAAGATCTCCAAAAAGTAAATGATGTCCAAAGAAACAGGCCATGAGAGAGAAGGATCCGAAGTTTATTCTTCATGTGTAGTAAAACTTAGGTTTTCTTACTACCAACACCATCCTAACCATTTTACTCTATATCAATCCAATAATGCAACTCTTGATCTAAAATAACTTCTATTAAAATAAACTACAGAGAAAAATCCACTCCAGGAAAATTTCAGTTCACTGTAAGAATGCCTTTTGGTAGTTTTGGAGTCCTTTGTAGGGGGGGTTGGGGGAATAATTGCTTTCCATTTGGGGAGTTTTCTGGATAATTTCAACGGAAATGATTAAATTGATTTACATGAACTAGTTTAAATTTCTGACGAGATAATCTCCGGCAGCACCCTGTAAGGAAATGTTACATGCTTGTAACTAAAATATGCACTCTTTATACTAAACAACTACACTGCCACTTCTAAAGCACTGAACATCAAAGTCGCAAGCTTAGCTTCATGTATTCTAATTAGTCCCTGCAGGTACTGATGAGCCACACTCACACTCTATAAAGGGTTAGTCATGCCAAGATAGTCTATTTTCTACAGCGTTCTTTCACAGGTTGTATCTGAGTCTTCACAATTGAATAGTACTAAAAATGTAAAATTGTCCTTTGTTAAGTTTTTCCCTAATTAAGAAATAGGAACAAAATGGAAATGTCAAAAATATATAACTTTACAAATAAGCTAAATATGGAAAATTAAAAAGGTTTTCACAAAATAAAGAATGTATTGTCATGTGTTATGTAATTGTGCATGGGATGTGTAGCTTTTCCTATAAAAGTAGCAGTATGTGATCCAAATAATACTAATAGAAAAGTAAAATATCTAAAAAATTCAAATATTTAAGGGAATAGACATACAGATTGAAAATGTGAAAAGGTTTTTATGCATTTCAGCCCAAACATACCTACCTATCATGTGAAGGCTTACTAAGCCTCCGGGCACTACAAATGTCTGCGCTCTATCCTGGATAAATCCGATACATCTGATACTACAAAGGTCGATCAAAGACATGCATCATTCTTCAAAGAAAATTCTGTAAAAGCTGCCTGAAAATAATAGCGTTAGAACAAACATCTACCTAATTCACTTTCAGCAAGTATGATTCAGCTACTTTTTTAGCATTAAGATTTATTTTCTTTCAAATTATATAGTTAAGAATATCTTCTCTCACAATAGGGAAGATTTTTAACTTTTCTATGTAAAGAAAAGCTGTAAAACCAGCAATTTTTATAAAAAAATCACAATAAAGTTTTGACAGAGGAGTTTCTCATGATGATAGGAATCTGCTGAAAATGGAAGAATTATAGAACATTTTCAAGAATTTCAACCCAATAACAAAGTAGCTTCCTATACAAATTACACCAGAAGGCTGAGTTAAAAGTGTGGAAAGCAATCTAAAAAATGTTATCAAACAGGTTCACTTAAAGGCGCTAAGGATATTAACAGTGACGCCTATATAGCCAACTACACATAAAAACAATTACAACACTTTATTATTTTTAATTAAGTGAAGATGCAATCATTTACAATGCTTTTTGATGAGGATTTTTTACAAACACACTTCAAATTATAGGTAATAACTTGTCTAAAACTTGAAAATTGTGTTAATAGTGATTAAAGTGATGTGATGTGAAAGTCATGCAGCCGTGTCTGACCCTTTGTGATCCCGGGGATTATCCAGTCCACGGAATCCTCCAGGCCAGGTCACTGGAGTGTGTAGCCTTTCTCTTCTCCAGGGGATCTTCCCAACCCAGGGACCTCTAGTAATTTCAAAAGTATAGATTCAATTTTAAATAAAGTTTTATATTTGAAACATGCTGTAAATGACTCAATGAACATAAATCTGAGCAAACTCTAGGAGATAGTGGAGGACAGAGAAGCCTGGTATGCTGCACTCTGCAGGGTTGCAAAGAGTTGGACACGATTTAGCAACTGAATAACAACATGTTCTTAATAAAAATGAAATGTCCATGCTTTTAGCAAATTCATATCACAGAAATAAAACTTTAACCTTTAAAATGCAGATTCTCAAAATTATTAGTAAATATCTTCTCCAGATATATTATTGAAATAATGTCTAAAATCAGGTATAAGCGAGGAAACCAGATCTGAAAGAGACACGTGCACCCCAATGTTCATCGCGGCACTGTTTATAATAGCCAGGACATGGAAGCAACCTAGATGCCCATCAGCAGACGAATGGATGAGGAAGCTATGGTACATATACACCATGGAATATTACTCAGCCATTAAAAAGAATTCATTTGAATCAGTTCTAATGAGATGGATGAAACTGGAGCCCATTATACAGAGCAAAGTAAGCCAGAAAGATAAACACCATTACAGTATACTAACACATATATATGGAATTTAGAAAGATGGTAACGATAACCCTAGATGCAAAACAGAAAAAGAGACTCAGATGTATAGAACAGACTTGTGGACTCTGGGAGAAGGCAAGGGTGGGATGTTTCAAGAGAACAGCATCGAAACATGTATATTATCTAGGGTGAAACAGATCACCAGCCCAGGTTGGGTGCATGAGATAAGTGCTCGGGCCTGGTGCACTGGGAAGACCCAGAGGAATCGGGTGGAGAGGGAGGTGGGAGGGGGGACCGGGATGGGGAATACGTGTAAATCCATGGCTAATTCATTTCAATGTATGACAAAAACCACTGCAATGATGTAAAGTAATTAGCCTCCAACTAATAAAAATAAATGGAAAAAAAAAAAACAGCAAAAAGAAATAAATAAATAAAATAAAATCAGGTATAAGCAAACTGTAATTATATTGTCAAAATGCACTATTAACCAAAACAGTATTTGACTTTTATATAATAATTCCTAAACAAATTGACAGTTTTTAACAGACCATCACTAACACTATAAATAATTCTAAGCCTGATAACCTGTAGGATTTCTGAAGCTGGGCTCAGTCAAAATGGGGGCCCACTGGTCTTTCTCTTTCCTCTAAGAATCACTGTTCTTTGCTGCAGTGGTTCTGGTGAACTGCCTTAAGCAATTACTCTATCATCAAGGAGGCCTTTACTAAAAAGAAGAGGCACAGTATCCTCTTCCATTTTCTGTTGTCTAATGTCAAAAGGAAATAAACCTGACCTATTAATCAAAGCCAAAGGAAAAAAAAAGAAAAACCACAAACCTTTGATTCTACCCAATTCCCATGTAACCCCAAAATACGCACCATTTTAAACTGCTTTAGAGACAAAGTCGCTCGGAGAGATTGTTAGATGGTTGGCGGGCCCCACTCCTAGAGACTGATTCAGTGGGTCTGAGTCAGATAACTTGCATTTCTAATGCTTCCCAGGTGATGCTGATCCAAGGACTGAACTTTGAACAGCACTGCTTTGGACAATCCTTTATTATGATGTACCCAAATTTAACCATTTGTCTGTTATTGGACATTTGTTACCAATGATGTGTTCCTACATATGTTTCAATAAACACCTTTGTATATCATTGGTAATAACCTACAAGCTTCTCAAGTTTCCTGATACATGCAGCCCTCCACTCACAGCACTGTATTTGAGCATTAGCAAGTCAACTCCAACTCCTTTAGAGTATTATCACTTATTACTGTTATCAGTTTAGTAGGAGAAAAGTTCTCACTTTAGTTTGCATTTCCTTAATTGCTAGTGAGAATACATCTCTTCCTCACTTATCTAAATGACTTGTTTTTATTGTTTGCCCATTTTATTCTATCAGTGAGCTAACTAAAATGCTTGTCAGTTAAAGCATTCTCATTTGCCAATTTACTGTATTGCTTATGGTTTTGGACATAAGAGAGTTTGAAAATTGGAAGCAATTTTGTCTACTGACGTTCTCTTTCCAGATACTTTCCATTGCTATCATGCTTAGAAAACTGCTTCTCAGCAAAATAATCCACACTTAGATGCTTTTAGCTTTGTATGTTTCTTAATCATTTTTATTCTACTCTAATTTTAATATAAAATGACATGAGTATCTAGTTTTTATTTTTTTCTTCCAATTGCTACCCAATTTCCTCAAGTTTTCCTTTCTACATGAATACATAATGCTGTCACATTTGAAGGCTCAAATCTCAAAATATACAAGGGTCTATTCTAGACTGTCTATTCTGTTCCATTTAAGCGTCTAGCAAATATTATACCAGTATTATGACATCATTTCAATTAATGCAGTTTGATGGGCACATTTTAAGATCTGGCAGGGCAAGCCCCACCTCAGCATTTCTGATGGGCAAACCTGAATCCACGTGGGGTCTCAGTTCTCACAACCATAAAATGGGTCTGTGCCTACACCTACCTTAAAAGCTTACTATGCGGAACTGGCTGAAAGCATATGCCTGCGGACACTTTGAAACTACAAAGGATCGCACAATTCTAAGTTGTCATCTATATCTGCCTACGGCATTGATGAGATCTTTAAATAATAAAAATAATTCTCAAGTAGAAGTTAAAGTAAAATCAATGAACCAGATCCTTACTAGCTATGAATGAATACTTACATGTTACACAAAAGGTCTAATGCACTCAACATTGTTATAAACATTTTCTGGATAAAAAACACTCCTTCTAGCTCATTTGAATAAAAGAATAACAAGTTAGTGCCCATTTGTTAATCAAAGAAAGAAAAAAGGGGTGGTGAAATGCTCCTTAAATTTGTGCAAGATTTGTTTCTTGGAGCTGTGAGAAAGGTTCCAAAGGCTACTTTTATAAATACAGTCAAACTTCTTCTCTTAATCCCTTTAACTGGATTCCACAAAGAAACAATATTGATAGAATGTGAACACAAATCACAGGACTATTTTTGTTCCCCAAACGCAGATACTGAACACACTGTCGGTCTGAATACAGAAGAATTCAGACAACGGGAAACACTCCCATTTAAAGACGTCTTGAATCAGAAATAAATCTCGGGGGCTTCCTTGGCGTCTCAGTGGTAAAGAACCCGCCCGCCAATGCAGAAGACACTGGTTCGATCCCTGGCCCAGGAGGGAACACATGCTGTGTGGCAGCTGAGCGCCACAACCCCCGAGCCTGGGCTCTCAGCCCATGCTCCGCAGCGAAAGGAGCCACTGCAAGAAGTTCGGGCGCTGCAGCTAGAGAGAGCCTGCGAGCAGCAACCCACCCAGCACCGGCAAAAGCTGCTAAGTAAATACAATTATTTTAAAAAAGGAAGTAAACCTTGTACTGTGACAAAGTGAGCACCTAAAAGATACTCGTATCACCCACTAAAATAGCTCAGAAGACCCTGGATATGGTACACGGAATCATGTAATTTCTCACCTAGTAGCAGGGACATAACAATATTTTTTCAAATCCCCTACTGGGTAGCAGCAGAACTAAGGCTAGGTCCAAAAGCTCAATTTTTCGGCTCAGTAACTTTCAAACTTACTTCAGCGAGTCACCGGTCTCCTGCTCACTGTCTTGCGTTGTGTCCAAAGAAAAGGCGTCCGAGAGTTCGGCTGAGCTGGGCTCCTGCTCCTCCGTTGGAAGTGCCTGGGTTCTCAGGGGGCCGCCAACACCTTCCCTGTGGCCCCCCTCCTCGTGACGACTGGGACTTCGTAAGTCTTTCTCGGGTCTGTCACGTTCATCTTTGAAAGAAGACTGCTTGGCTTCACCGAGAGAAGACTTTCCTGAGATACTGAATAAGTTGCCTAGAAACTGGAAGAAGCTTTCTTTTGGCTGTTTATCGCTCTCCCCCATTTTGGCCTCTGGAGTGGAACTGGAAAGGTCATTGGGCTTTCTGGAATCTTCCTGTGTTGGAACAGTGATCAGCTGCTGGGTCTGGGTCCTTTTGTCCTCACTTTGGGGAATCTTGGAAAACAAAACAGAGAATATTAAGCATCATCATTTGAAAAAAATGACACGGGCTGACTTCTAACCTATTATGTGCCCCTCTCTGTGCTAAAGGCCAGGGATATTTCTGTGAATGAGATGGATGGCTGCCACTGCTTAGGAGTTTACAACCTACTAAAGGGCACCGTCAGCACGGCGTTAACAGCATGATATGGTAAATGTCACAAAGGGAGAAGTACAGTCCACGTGGGATCCCAGGGGCAACTAGTCTAGGTTTGGGGGCGGTGAGGGCACAGGAGGTAACTTGGGGGGCGGGATGTGCCCTCGGAAGGAGACGCAGACACGGCCAGAGAGATGCCTGTACATCCCCCTCTCTCTCTGCTTCCCCCCACACCCCACTACCTTCCCCAGGCCACACATCCATCATCTCTCCACTGCCCAACGAGGAGTCAGCTTCTAATGTAAAATGACTGGAGGTAAGATGGTGAAATAAGAGTGAAAGGTAAGTTTGGAGGGATAAGTAAAGGGGCACGTCATAGCAAACTTTCTGTGTATCTAAACTTAGCCTTTATTATTACAGAACTCACAGACCGCATGCTCATGTGCTCCACACAGACAACACCTGAACAGACTTCATCACTTCTGCATTGTGTTAACCCCTGAAGCTACCACATGGTAGAAAACTGTTTCTCAAGAAGATGAGGACAGACAGCAGCACAGTGTATCACCAGGGAAGAAAGGCCACTATAAACTCCCGGGGTGTGCTCGGTAGGGTATTTATGTCAAACCCACTCTCCCAGTTCACAGAGCCCTGCCTCTCCCCTCCCTGCGAACGCGTCTCTTTTCCTGCCCTGGGAACCTGCTGCCCAGCTCGGGCAGCGAGGCTGGATGCTCTGTGATGGCCTAGATGGATGGGACGGGGCGGGGGAGGAAGGACAAGAGGGAGGGGACATGGGCATGTTAATACTTGGAGCTGATTCACTCCGTTGTACAGCAGAAACATGAGCTTATAAAGCAATTATACTCCAAATTAAAAAAAAAATTCCTTGTAAAAGACAAAGCCATGATATATGCATTAACGCAGAGGGTGGGCAGCACCAGGAATTCTTGCAGATGCTGAACACTTTCAGGAGTGTGTTTTACCTGCTCATAATTAACCTACTAGTGAAGCACTGGAGAAGGAAATGGCAATCCACTCCAGTATTCTTGCCTGGAGAATCCCGTGGACAGAGGAGCCTGGTGGGCTGCTGTCCATAGGGTCGCACAGAATCGGACATGACTGAAGCAACTTAGCATGCATGCATGCATTGGAGGAGAAAATGGCAACCCACTCCAGTGTTCTTGCCTGGAGAATCCCGTGGACAGAGGAGCCTGGTGGGCTGCTGTCCATAGGGTCGCACAGAATCGGACATGACTGAAGCAACTTAGCATGCATGCATGCATTGGAGGAGAAAATGGCAACCCACTCCAGTGTTCTTGCCTGGAGAATCCCGGGGACGGAGGAGCCTGGTGGGCTGCGTCCACGGGGTCGCACAGAGTCGGACACGACTGAAGCGACTCAGCAGCAGTGAAGCACACTCCCGCTCACGTGTACACCGCGCGGCCGCGCTGCAGGCCACACTCTCTCCTGCCTAAAGCGCCCTCAGCCTCAGGCAAAGGGGCCAGATCAGCCTGCCTTCCCAACATGCTCACTCACCTACTTGTACGAGGAATGCCGTCTGATAGTATCTGTCAGATGTCACACTCACTGGTCCTTACAAAAGGAAAGCTCGAGTGTGAGTCAGAAAAATATCAGCATGCCCAGGTGAAACCACCTTAGGCTACGGCAGGCTCACAGGAAGAAGTTTCGTAAGAAGCTGATCTTCAAGAAGGCAAGAACATCCGAATGTCATTTGTTCACCTCCTTCCTTGTTTTAATCCAAATTCAAAACAGCTTAAAGGAGTGTTCCACTAACCACTAATAATACTTGGCATATGAATGGTTGTGGAATGTTTAGAACCCATTAGCCTAGGAAATTAATTCCAAGTGAACCATATTTCAAGGTCTGTTCCAACTTTAGGAATCAGGACTATTTTTGAATAAACACATTAGCATTTTTCTATGTGTTAGGTCCTTAATATAACTAGTGAGTCTTAGATTTAGAATACCACCAGCCTTTTAGAGTCAAAGTCTCACCTTTTACTGGTTTCAACTGCAACTCAATCCCACATATCTCCACCTCATCCACCCAGCCTTCTGCTCTTTATGGGAGCCTGCTCTATAAATGAACTGCGCACTCTCCTCATGTCAACATCTTACATAGTCTCTCAATATGACAGCAGAAAATATGCTAGATGACATTTTGAAAGTGATCATGTGTTATTTTTTTTTTTGTCCTTTACTCCATTTACTCTGTTGTAATGGCCAGCTACAATGCTTAAGTGAACTGTAGGCTACTCACTAAAACACCACCAAAATTCTTAAAATGCATACAGATTCACAGGGTTTTTTTTTAATTGGGGCAGTGTTTTTTTTTTTTTTTTTAAGGAAAACAGAATATGATTACATTTTTGACATCAACAAAATCAAGACAAAAAACTTCTATAAAATCAAAAATACTATTCATCTCACTGCCTCAATTATTTTTACTTACTTGACAATTCCTTTCAAAATATAATGGACTGCTTCCAACCGTATGGTACTGGCACAAAAACAGAAGTATAGACCAATGGAACAAGACAGAAAGCCCAAAGATAATCCACACACATATGGGCACCTGATCTTTCACAAAGGAGGCAAGAATACACAGTAGGAAAAGATAATCTCTCTTCAATAAGCGGTGCTGGAAGAACTGGACAGCTACATGTAAAAGAAGGAAATTAGAACACTCCCTAACACCATACACAAAGATAAACTCAAAAAGGATTAAAGACATAAATGTAAGACCAGAAACTATAAAACTTGTAGAAGAAAACACAGGCAGAACACTGTATGACATAAATCATAGCAATATCCTTTATGACCCACCTCCTGGAATAAGGGAAATAAAAACAAAAATAAATAAGTGGGACCTAATTAAACTTAAAAGCTTTTGCACAGCAAAGTAAACTATAAACAAGGTGAAAAGACACCCTCAGAAGGGAGAAAATAATACCAAATGAAATAACTGACAAAGGATTAATTTCCAAAATATATAAGCAGCTCATACAACTCAATACCAGAAAAACAAGCAACCCGATCAAAAAGGGGGCAAAAGACCTAAACAGACAATTCTCCAAAGAAGACATGCGGAGAGCTAATAAAAATAAAAAGAGATGCTTAACATCACTCATTATTAGACAAATGCAAATCAAAATTACAATGAGATATCACCTTGCACCAGTGAGAATGGCCATAATAAAAATTGACAACAACAAGTGCTGGAGAGGGTGTGGAGAAAAGGGAACCCTCCTTCACTGCTGGTGGGAATGTAAACTGACAGAGCCACAATGGAAGACAGTATGGAGATTACTTAAAAAACTAGGAATAAAACCACTGTATGACCCAGAAATCCCACTTCTAGGCATATACAATGAAGAAACCAAAACTGAAGAAAACGCATGTACCCCAATGCTCACTATTTATAATAGCAAAGACATGGAAGCAACCTAGATGTCTTCTGACAGATGAATGGATAAAGAAGTTGTGGTACCTATATACGATGGAATACTACTCAGCCATAAAAAGGAACACATCTGAGTCAGTTCTAATGAGGTGGATGAACCTAGAGCCTATTATACAGAGTGAAGCAAGTCAGAAAGAGAAAAACAAATAAAGTATATTAACGCATATATATGGCATCTAGAAGGATGGTACTGAACCTCATCAGTATCATCCTTCTAGATGCCATATATATGTGTTAATATACAACACAGACATAGAGAACAGACTTATGAACAAGCGACGGGGAGAAGAGGGAGATGGTGAGATGAATGGAGAAAGTAGCGTGGATGCATATACACTAACATATGTAAATAGACAGCCAATGGGAATCTGCTGTTTATGACTCAGGGAACTCAAACTGGGGCTCTGTAATAACCTAGAGGGGTGGGGATGGACAGGATGTGGGAGGGAGATTTAAGAGGGAGGGGACTAATGTACATCTATGGTTAATTCATGTTGATGTATGACAAATCAAACCAATATTGTAAAACAATCATCAATCAATTTAAAAAATTACAAAAATATATAGTGGACTGTTTCCTAAGCAAGGAAAATATATTTTGCTAAACTAGTGAATGCCTTCACATTTAACCTTTTTAGAGTGATATATATATCAATTTTTTAAAAAATCACTTAATTCTCCTTCCTTTCAATAATCACTTCTTTGCTATCCCAGAATCCCTGTGTCTTAAATGTAATAAGAGCATTTTCTCAGTTTCCCAGAAGTTATTCGTTGCTTAATTTTTGCCTAATAATCCTATGAGAAATTTGTGTCAGTAATTAAAATACCTTCAACAACAACAACAAGAAAAGTATTTAGAGACCAAAATTAGCAGGAAAGGGCACTGTTATTAACATGACAAACCATGTATTTATATAACTGCATACTAAAAGTCTGGTATAAAATAACTGCTCTTAAGCCCTCAGCCTAGACAGCAATGGAGTTCAGCCTGCCACAAACTAGGGCCAATGTCACCTGCCAGCTGGACGGTCTGCCACTGATCCAACAAGTGAGAAACAGAATGAAAACACTCAGGATTCAAGCAAATACTAATAAAACATTGATTCCAGTTGTCCTCAAAGATGCTGGTACTCTGCATGTAACATACAAAGGCTACTTATGAAGGCATATGTATTTTGGGGAATTTAATTTTTTCCCCTACATACTCAATATTAATACAGTGTGCTTAGGTCCAAATTCACCTGTCTGTCTGTCTATCCTCTTTGCTATGTGCCCCAAACAGGGACACACAGGAAAGCATCAGGTACAGTGATTAATAAGACTTAGTTGTGGATTCAAGGAGCTGACAGTCTAGCAAGATATTCATCATTACAT